ATGAATTTGTTGCTTCAAAACGTCTAGAACAATTGATTCTTTGTGGATTTTTTTTATACTTTTAGGGGATTAAACGATTAAATGGAGCTGCCAATTTTGAAGGTAAACGGATTGCATGCAGATTCCAGTTACCTTTTGCTCAAGAATACAAGTTGGAAGTACAGAGACAGCAAATTTAATTACAGAAAGGAGGAGAACTTCACATGTATCCTTTATATCTGACACACAATTTTAATACACCTTATCGCTATTTGTCCGCCATTACTGGACATCACACAAGTTCCCGTAAAATTTTGACGTCATAATAGAAAATGTCTGACACCACAATGGAAAAGTGATTGTTGTATGACGTCAAAAGTTCGAGCGGGACAGATTCTCAGGTCAAGCGGGAATAGCGATAAGGTGTATATTATAATACTGAATATTATAATATTTGAAACTGAACAGCGAGCATCATTATTATATATACATTAAGGATGATCGCTACTCTTGTTTTTGACTTTTTGTCAGATATTCGGAATCCTCTGGTTTTATCCATGTAGTGCCATTAAAAAAATTTGCCTACTAACGCCTACTTCTCTTTTCATAATTTGATTACATATAGTTTAAATGCCACCTTTGAAAATCTTATTAAATCTTTGTTATTTTTTCATAGTTTTTGAAAGAAAAAAGATGCCAATGTTAAATGTATGAAGAGAACCATTTCCGGCCAAATTTTCAATGGCTTTTATCTCGAAAACAAGCACACGGACCCTTCATTTTTTTCTGCATTTTTAGTTCCTTTATTTATATACTATCATTTCAGAATAGTCTTTTAAAAATCTTGTTATTTTTAAACAGAGTAGCGAACATACTTAAGCCATGGTGAACAATGTGTATCTAAATACAATTAAGACAATGAAATGCTTGAAGGTGTTAGTGAACATGGTTTTAGTTTCTTGTGTACAATTTGGAGTTTAGTATGGCGTTCATTATCACTGAACTAGTAAATATATTTGTTTAGGGGCCAGCTGAAGGACGCCTCCGGGTGCGGGAATTTCTCGCTGCATTGAAGACCTGTTGGTGACCTTCTGCTGTTGTCTGTTCTATGGTCGGGTTGTTGTCTCTTTGACACATTCCCCATTTCCATTCTCAATTTTATGGGAGGAGAGGGTGGGGTAGGTACCATTTTAATGTTCTAAATTTATTTCTACATTCAATATTCAAGAACATCTATTTCGCATTCATGGTTATTCTAGAATATTCAAGGATATTTCACATTCATGGTTATTCTAAAATATTCAAGGATATTTCACATTCATGGTTATTCTAGAATATTCAAGGATATTTCACATTCATGTTTGTAGCCAATGTAGGATACTTCACATTCATGGTTATTCTAGAATATTCAACCATTCAATATTCATGGACATCTTATTTCACAGTAATGGTTATCCTAGTCAGTATTCCACTATTCAATACTCATGCCAGTCATGGTCATCCTTTTTCACATTCAAGAATATTCTATAGATAAATATTCATGTTAATTCTTGGTTATTCAGTTCATACAATATTCATGTATATTCAAGGTGCCATTTAACATTCATGAATATTCATGAATATTCATGCATTGTAACCTTGAATATTCATGAATGTTCTAGAATTATTCCGGAATATTCATGAATAATTCCAGTTCATGAAAGCAGGGAACTGCTAATATTTACACAATATTTTTTTTATTTTCCTGATCATAGGGCTCATCACAAGCATATCAATCAAGTTAATATTATACTGATACAGACAATGATTGTTAATTATATATGAAATATATATATAAAAAATAATTGTTCAGTGATAAAAGGGGAGAGTCCGTCCTGATTGGGTTACATTAATATATCCTCCAGAACTTAAAAATATCAAAGAAAAAAGACGGGGATCACCATGACCTATTCATTGTTTATTTATTGTTGGTGCATTTAGGGTGTTTTTGTGTTTTTTTTTTTTTTGTTTTTTTTTTGTTAAGGTTGATTGATTATTCTTCTGTAGGCCTTTGTATTGCGAAATTTTCAAAGTCCAATAATATCAATACAGTAAAATAAAGAATTAAAGTGACGTGCCATATTGTACATATACATGTATCAAACATTGTCAAAGGGAAACGTTATTCAAAGCAATACGTTCATTTCAATACTACTAGACTAAAGCAATTAACTGTTAACTATTTCATTGCATTTAATGGAAAATTGGGATTTGGTGGCAAATAAAGCCAAGATTTTTGCCAAAAAACCACAGACTTTTTCACAGAGATTTTTGTTATAAAATTGTAAACGTCATAGATTACTCATTTGTTTGTCCATATTGTGCTAGCATTTATTGTCTACTAAAAGTCCTAAATGACCTTTACAATCCAAAAACCGGGCTTGTGCTGAGTCACTAAAGTTGAGCACACCCTAGAAGGTGTACTTGAATAAGTCCATTTTTATACTTGCTTTAACCAATATCTTTATTTATATACTTGTTTTAGGGAAATCCTCTATTAAGCATCAAATTGTCAAATGAAGGAGTACAAGGGAAAAGGCTGCAGATTTTTTATAAAATTTCCATATGTTTAGCATTGAAACAACAAAAGGGTACTGGGTACATTATCCTTAAGGTTCAACAGAAGGAATTGAAAAATATGGCTGTGTTTACACCACAAATCTGGTAAAGTTTTAAGGCATGGCAGGAACTAGATAATTATATTACAAATGCATTTTATGTTTCAGAAAATGTAAAACTTACTTTGAATTTAAGATTCATTTTTTAGCTCACCTGGCCCAAAGGGCCAAGTGAGCTTTTCTCATCAATTGGCGTCCGTCATCCGTCGTCCTGCCTCCGTCGTCCGTAAACTTTTACAAAAATCTTCTCCTCTGAAACTACTGGGCCAAATTTGACCAAAGTTGGCCACAATCATCATTGGGGTATCTTGTTTAAAAAATGTGTCCGGTGACCCGGCCAACCAACCAAGATGGCCGCCATGGCTAAAAATAGAACATTGGGGTAAAATGTAGATTTTGGCTTATATCTCTGAAACCAAAGCATTTAGAGCAAATCTGACATGGGGTAAAATTGTTTATCAGGACAAGATCTGTCTGCCCTGAAATTTTCAGATGAATCTGACAACCTGTTGTTGGGTTGCTGCCCCTGAATTGGTAATTTTAAGGACATTTTGCCGTTTTTGGTTATTATCTTGAATATTATTATAGATAGAGATAAACTGTAAACAGCAATAATGTTCAGCAAAGTAAGATCTACAAATAAGTCAACTTGACCAAAATGGTCAGTTGACCCCTTAAGGAGTTATTGCCCTTTATAGTCAATTTTTAACCATTTTTCGTAAATTTGTGTAAACTTTTACAAAAATCTTCTCCTCTGAAACTACTAAGAGTGACTAACTTACTAAGATAAATTTAACCAAACTTGTGCATAATCATCTCTAGGGTATCTAGTTTAAAAAATGTGTCCGATGACCCTGCCCGCGAACCAAGATGGCCGACATGGCTAAAAAATAGTACATAGGGTAAAATGCAGTTTTTGACTCATATCTCTGAAACCAAAGCATTTAGAGCAAATCTGACAGGATAAAATTGTTCATTAGGTCAAGATCTATCTGCCCTGAAATTTTCAGACCAATCAGGCAACACGTTGTTGGGTTGCTGCCCCTGAATTGGTAATTTTAAGAAAATTTTGCAGCTTTTGGTTATTATCTTGAATATTATTATAGATAGAGATTAACTGTTACAGCAATAATGTACAGCAAAGTAAGATCTACAAATAAGTCAACATGACCAAAATTGTCAATTGACCCCTTAAGGAGTTATTGCCCTTTATAGTCAATTTTTTACAATTTTCATAAATTTTGTAAATTTTTGTAAATTTTTACAAAATATTTTCCACTGTAACTACTGGGCCAAGATCATTATAGATAGAGATAATTGTAAGCAGCAAGAATGTTCAGTAAAGTAAGATCTACAAACACATCATCATCACCAAAACACAATTTTGTCATGAATCCATCTGTGTCCTTTGTTTAATATGCACACAGACCAAAGTGAGCGACACAGGCTCTTTAGAGCCTCTAGTTTTCGTTTCTACAGGTGTGCCAAAATAAACAAACTCCTGAATTTCATTTAATATGGTCCACTCAATTACACTGTTTAAATAGCATATTCTTGTGCAGGTATCTATTGTCCATGTCAATTAAAACAACTCACTTTATTATTACATAGCGGAACATCTCAAAGAATTTTCCAAACTTAGTTTTATTTTCGCACCTTCTGTGGGAACGATAAAAAAGGAATCTCATAATCGATAAAAGTTTATAATTGCATTTAAAATGTAATTATCTAGTTCATGCCATGCCTTAAAACTTTACCAGGTGCTGTACTCCGAATAAATTTTGTGATGTAAATATTTGCCAAAAGGTCATGATGGACCTAATAAGATTGAAAATCTGTTCTCAGATATTTTGCCCTTCTTGTTTCAAATAAAGATTCAGACATGAATCACTGAATTCAGTAATACATTTACAACTGATTTATCCAAAATGAAAAACAGTTGATATTTACAATAAAAAATATTTTAGGAGAACTTTGTGGTATGATTGCCAATAAGACAACAATTCACAAAAGTTGACTGAATCATTGTTTATATATATATATCTTCATTTGAATAACAAAATTCAGTTGGAATAAGATCTATTAAAGTGAAAGATACTTTATCAAAGTCTCTTGTATATATCCTTTCTAATCCTTTTGAAACAGAGGTAACAAGTCAAACAATTGCTTAGAATACAACATTTGTAAAGAAATGATTAAATGTATGATGCATCAAATCAGATTGGCTTGCCTTCAGCACCAAAGATGCTTTGAATTATTTTTCACTCTTACAGGAATGGCTGTGATATGAAGTAGTTGGTTAAAGAATAAAAATCACATTATATATTCATCATTTGATCATGGTTCTTTTATTGCATTCTTTAGAGATTGATAGCCATGCCACAACGTAAGATCATATGTAAATATGGACCAACAAACAGCTACATTGTTAGTTCACCAATAGGAGATGTGGAAATAGTTAGCTGCCCAAAGGGACTTCACTCAGTTAAACAAGTTGGAGATACAGATGAATATTTTTCACCAGATACAAGGTTTGTTTGCTTTTAAGCCAACTGGATGAATGGTCATAACTTTATGTATGAATGATCTTATGCAATCTAAATTTTAATTTTATCACGAAACTAGCTGCTTATAAGTGCTTAAATCAGAGGGTGTGTACTGATCAGTGTCAATTAGTTTGTTCCTTAGTCCATCCGATAGCATTTTTGTATTCACAACTCACAGTAGCAGCTAGTGACTTTCATTCTTCTTATACTACAAAGATGTTAAATGACCCTGACTATCCATGAGATTCTAACACAGTCTGCAACTGGAATTCACAGTTATTTTTTGTCGAGCCTGTATTTTGTCGCAGAAAGCTCGACATAGGGATAGTGACCCATCGGCGTTAGCTAACTTCTTAGAAGCTTTATATTTTAGAAGGTGGAAGACCTGGATGCTTCATACTTTGTATATTGATGCCTCATGTTACTAAGTTTTTGCAGTTACATGTCCAATGTCCTTTACCTCATTTTCATGGTTCAGTGACTACTTGAAAAAAAAGTTAAGATTTTTTGTAATATTAAATTCTCTCTTATTATAAGTTATAGGATAACTATATTTGGTATGTGCGTATCTTGCAAGGTCCTCATACCCGTCAGACAGTTTTCACTTGACCTCGACCTTATTTCATGGATCAGTGAACAAGGTTAAGTTTTGGTGGTCAAGTCCATATCTCAGATACTATAAGCAATAGATCTAGTATATTCGGTGTATGGAAGGACTGTAAGGTGTACATGTCCAACTGGCAGGTGTCATCTGACCTTGACCTCCTTTTCATGGTTCAGTGGTTATAGTTAAGTTTTTGTATTTTGGTCCGTTTTTCTTATACTTTATGCAATAGGTCTACTATATTTGGTGTATGGAATGATTGCAAGGTGTACATGTCCAACTGGCAGGTGTCATCTGACCTTGACCTCCTTTTCATGGTTCAGTGGTTATAGTTAAATTTTTGTATTTTGGTCCGTTTTTCTTATATTATATGCAATAAGTCAACTATATTTGGTGTATGGAAATATTCTATGATGTACATGTCAGTCTCGCAGGTTTTATTTGACCTTGACATCATTTTCACAGTTCATTGCTCAGTGTTAAGTTTATGTGTTTCAGTCTGTTTTTCTTAAACTATAAGCAATAGGTCAGCTATATGTGTTGTATGGAAGGATTGTAAGCTGTTCATGTCTGCCTGGCATGGTTCATCTGACCTTGACCTCATTTTCACAATTCATTGGTCAATGTTTAGTTTTCTTGGTTAAGTCTGTTTCTTAGAAACTATAAGCAATAGGTCAACTATATTTAGTGTATTGAATGATTGTAAGGTGTACATGTATTTCTCGTTTGGTTTACATGACCTTGACCTCATTTTCTTGGATCATGTTAAGTTTATGTAATAGTTGTAGTAAAGCTTTCATTTAGGACTATCAACATAATATCAATGGTTAGTAAAGAAGGCGAGACATTTCAGCGTGTGCACTCTTGTTTAAGTTCCTAAGAACTTTTGATTGAATGATTTAGGTGTTTTCCATAAACACACATGGTCTTTGCTACATCTACATGTACAAAAGTAGAAAGGCATGTTTGATTGTTGTGGTTTTGGGGATTTTTTTTTTATCCAAATGGGTTTCATGGATTATGAACTTCAGGGTCAAAATGTGCATTTCATTTCAGGTAATCTCTAATAGTATCATTTTCTTCAATTCCTTTGTGCATATTGTAAACTAGGATATGTTTAGTGACTCATTTAGAAGCTGAGGCATTTTCACTTATTTGGTTAAATTTCAGGGTAAAGTGTAAGAATTGATTTTGTTCTTTGTCAACATTTTAATGACTCATTAGTTTTTACATCTTTATTCTATGGTCCTCTCGTCTTTTAAACAGTACAAATAGTTAACCTCAGTCAATTATATTACCTCACTCTAGAAATGGTATAGAATCACCTTAACTGTTTGTTCGTCCAATAGAGATTTTTGTTGCATTTTTCGCAGAAATCACTATACAGAATGACGTATTTGATCAGCAGCTAGATAGTGATACGTGGTAATGTGTAAGCACTTTTTAAATCTGTCAGATACCTTCTTCTTGTCCATTCTATGAGTTTTTCAATATGTTGAATGAACTTAATTTCTTTTGTCACACATTTCTCCCAATACTACTGAAAAGAATGAGTTCATATTTGGTCAGCACCTAGACCATGATGAGTTGTAATGTGTGTGTGTGTGTTTTTCAGATTTGTGAGACATCCACTTTCTATTTACCAATATTTTGGTATGAGAAGGGTATGCTTAGCACAACAAGGCATGCATTCATGTTCATAATGACATGTCCAATATAATTGCACAGAGATTTTTGTTTACATATTATAAGGGTGTTCCTCACTTTGAAGCACATAAGAGATAGTGACCAACCTAAGAAGGGGATCAAGGTCTTGTAGTCATCTTATATTTGCAACTCTTCTTCAATAACTATTCACTGGATTTTAATCATAAAATCTTTTTTCATTGCAAATCATGTATTTTATTTTATATTTAATCAGAATTTTTTGGGTTTGCGATGGGGATTATTGACTTTGCTATTTCTTGAAAAAAGTAGGCATCTTCAGCTTCTTCATAATCACTGAATTTAAAAGAATCTTCAGAACCTATTAACAATGTGCACATCCTATTTTTTTTTTATGCAAATAATTTCTATTGTTACAAAAGGAAAAACATGGTGCCATATTTTTATGGGTTGGGGAATAGGGGTATGAAATTTTGAGCTCTGTTTGTAGTTTTTAAATACATTAAATGTCAAAGAAGGGCAGTCATCAGTATCCTCATGTAGCAGTATTTAACTAGCTGCTTAAAGCTTAATATTGCAGAAAGTAAAGGGCTTGACCATCTATATTTTGTATATATCGGTAGGTGGCTTATATCATGTTTCCATCTGCCATATATGTCAGTTGTCAGGTACCTTTTATTATTTTGATGGTTTGATTTCTTGATTAGGTAAGTTACTCATTTATTATAAGTATTTTCATTTTTCTGATTAGCTACGCTTTAAAAGTACTCAAAAGTGATATCCACTCCCAAACACTGTAAATGCATGCATTTATTATTTCAATTTTTGAAGAATGGATTAAAATGCAAATTTAATTATTGCCATTTCAGGAAAATCTGAATACAGATTCATGTATATGTAATTAAAAACAAAATGTGAGTTCCTATTATTGAGATAATCACACAGACACATCATTGGCATTAATAAAAACCTCACAATTATTTCTGAATTTACAGTATACTTCTGACTTCTCTTGAACTGAATTTTAATGTGCGTATTGTTATGTGTTTACTTTTCTACATTGGCTAGAGGTATAGGGGGAGGGTTGAGATCTCATAAACATGTTTAACCCTGCCGCATTTTTGCGCCTGTCCCAAGTCAGGAGCCTCTAGCCTTTGTTAGTCTTGTATTATTTTTAATTTTAGTTTCTTGTGTACAATTTGGAGTTTAGTATGGTGTTCATTATCACTGAACTAGTATATATATTTGTTTAGGGGCCAGCTGAAGGACGCCTCCGGGTGCGGGAATTTCTTGCTGCATTGAAGACCTGTTGGTGACCTTCTGCTGTTGTCTGTTCTATGGTCGGGTTGTTGTCTCTTTGACACATTCCCCATTTCCATTCTCAATTTTATTGCAGTAAAATGGACAATTTTTGTGTATGAAATTGCTGCAACAGGCTAGATATTATTCTGTGATAATAGTTTTAATAGCAAAAACAGATCTTTCATAAAATAAATATCTCTCGTTTCAGAGTCAATGTTGATGTGAAATTGCAGTTATATAAAGACAATGGCTATACTTATAAACCTGCCTTACAGTGTGTTGAATGGTTACAGTTCTACTTTAAATCATCAGTGGACCAGCTAAAACTACCACTCCTATGTCAGTCCATTTTTACTGAAGGTAGGATCTAGAAATTATAGATTTATTTTAACTATGGAATTGGGATGTGTATGATGCATAGGTTTTCACTGATAAAGTGTACATGTATTACCAGACAGCGGTGCGAATTATACAGTACTACAAGCAAGAGATAAGAGAAAAAGTTTAACATTCCATGGTGTTTGATTGTGCCAAATTAAATAGCGTCCTAGTTTCTTTTAGAATTCTTTGCTCATTTACCTAATCCTGGCATATTGATATTTATTCTAGTTAGAAAAAGACAAGCATTTGCGAATAAACATCATAATAAAAAACTGAAAAACTTAATTGATTATTCGTATGGATTTGGTGTTTATTTTAGCTACAGGTCCTTCAAATATGAAAGTGTTGAATAATATTTTCCTAAATGACAGGACCACACCAGGTATCCCGATCTGAAACCTCGGAGGGATCTGAATCCAGAGGAGCAAGTAATGAAAAGTTTGTAACAGTGGGTAAGTAAAATCTGGATCCCATTCCCACAAAGTTTATCACTGATAGCTCCTGGGGATTCAGATCCCTCCGCAGATTTCAGATCAGGATACCTGGTGGGAGTACTGTTTTACTTTCAGAGTCGAATTTTTTTGTAATATTTAACTGAATTTGCTTGTGATTTTCACATATTTTTCCTATTTCTGTTTAATGACAACCAAAACTTTTGAAATTGTTTTTTGTTGTTGTTGCGATTTTGGCTAATTTTAACACCAGTGAAGTGTTCTAAGATCATTTATCACCATTAACTGATTTTTGATGAAAGTAAGTTTTGCAAGTTCAAAGTATAAAAAGACTGGAAAAAATTAGATAACTATTTGATATGACTATAATATCAAGGATCATGGATCCAGTAACTTTTTTGCCACTGGACATTAAGGATGTACTTAGGTCAGGTTTAGGAATTTTTGTCAGATGTTTGGACTCCTTGGTTTTTTTCTTACTATAAAAGAAAATATTTTGCCCCATAACACCCATTTTGTTTTCAATAGCTCATAAAAGGTCATTTACCAAAATTTAAGCAGATTTTAGATTTCTTTTCTTTCGGTTTGAGACCCAGATAATACCAATGCAAATATAAGGTAAAAGTCCAAGTCAGCCTTTTCCCGCCATTTAAAAAAATTAAATATCTCAAAAAGGAGCTCCATAACCTATCAATATTTTTAGCTTATTTTGTTCTGTAACTAATACTCTTCTGACTTATAGTATCAATTTTAAATTCTATTTCACTTGAGTACATCCGCAACCAACAATCAATCAATCCAGTAACTTTTAAAATGATGGGCGTGAAGTTTCATTTGGAAAAGGAAATTCCTGCCTTGTATCCACCAATATTTATGTGATTAAGGGTAAACAATACAACAAAGATCTTGTGTTTATTTTTCCTTGAAAATTTTGACACAAAGTCAATTTTGAATTCTTCACAGTGTTAAGTTTTTGAAGTCATAATAGAACTAAACTGGATTGATTTTATTTGGCTTGTCTGCTATGAAAAAAGAAGGAAAATTCAGTTGCTTTTTGCACAATGTTATATAACTGCATTGAAATTGTGTTAGTTACCATGTATCTAAGAAATGCTATTCTATTTAAATTGATCATACCTCTTGCTTTGATTTAAAATTATTTTTACAGGTTCTTTTACTAGTACAGCACAGAGAGTTTTGACAGAAAAGGTTTTATATGGACAGACTATATCATACAAGAACTTGGCTGCTTTATGTGGAAATGAAAAGGCATGTAGAGCTGTTGGCATGGCAATGAGGAATAATCCTATTTCTTTTATTGTTCCATGTCATCGTGTCATAAACCATAGTGGAAAACTTGGAAATTATAGTGGTGGACATAAGAATAAAATCAAACAATGGTTACTAACTCATGAAAATGCTATCCCTTGAATTAAGAAAATGAATGATGCTAATTTACTGATACCCCAACATATCATTATAAGCTAATGCTTGTATAAACGGCAGATTTATTTGTAATTATACAGGGCAGTTATTATAATATACTAAAATCCATTTTGCTTAGTTATATATTTTACATTAAAAATTAATCAACAAAATTCTGTTATATTTTTACCTCGCCTGGCCCACAAGGCCAAATTAGCTTTTATCATCACTTGGCTTCGGTCATCCTTGTTCATTTACATGATTAACGATTACAAAAATCTCGTTTAGAAAGTGTGTCCAATTACACCACCTGCCAACCAAGATTGCCGACATGGCTAAAAATAGAACATAACGGTAAAATGTATGTATTGTCTATTATTTTGAAATTTGTTATACATGTACTAGAGAAAACCTGACGGGGCAGAAATGTTCAGAATGTTGAGCTACAATGTTTGAGAAAACCCATTGTTGAAGATACACATAGACCTAGGTGAGCAACACAGGTTCTTTAATTACTTTTCCATTATATTACAATTATAAAAAACTTGATTTATATATACTGTAAATTTAGTTATATAAATAGCTAGTTTTTGCCTGCAAGACAGGTATTACTATGGGGCGGTGATGTAAACTATTTGTATACAGCTTTATATTTCAGAAGGTAGAAGACCTAGATGCTTCATACCTTGTATGCAGATACTTTATGTTACGAAATTTCCGTCTGTTATATGTTCATTGTCTTGACCTCATTTTTATGGTTCAGTGACTGCTGAAAAAAATTATATTATTTTTGTCTTGTGAATTTCTCACTAATTATGGGTAATAGGATAACATTATTTGGTATATGGTTTTCTTGCAACGTCTTCATGTCCATCAGACAGGGTTCACCTGACCTCGACTTTATTTCATGGATCAGTGATCAAGGTTAAAGTAACGTGATTAGGTCCGGGTCTCAGATACTATAAGCAGTAGGTCAACTATATTTGGTGTATGGAATGATTGTAAGGTGTACATGTCCGACTGGCAAGTTTCATCTTATTCATGGTTCATTGGTCCATGTTAAGTTTTTGTTGTTTGGTCGGTTTCTAAAAAGCAAACGTTCAGCTGTAATTGGAGTAAAGAATGATTGTCAGGTGTACATGTCTGTGTAGCAAGGTTCATCTTATATTTACCTTTTTAGCTCACCTTGCCAAAAATCTTCTCTGAAACTACAGGGCCAAATTAATTCAAACTTGGCCTAAATCATCCTTAGGGTATCTAGTTTAAAAAATGTATACGATGAAATGAAATAGAAATCTATGAAATTTAAACACAAGGTTTATAACCACAAAAGGAATGTTGGGATTGATTTTGGGGGTTATGGTCCTAACAGTATAGGAAAAAGGGGCCCAAATAAGCATTTTTCTAGTTTCCATACAATAACTTGTGGAACGATGTATGGATCTCTCTGAAATTATACCACAAAGGGATGGTTAGTATTTGCTTTGGGGGGTTATGGCTCAAACCCTTTAGGAATTAGGGGCAAAAAAGTGGGGAAAACAAGGGTTTCCTGGTTAATGGACAATTACTTAAGACAATTTAAAAGCAGTGTAAGGGAGGTAATCCAAACACGTTTTGATTACCTCCCTTACACTGCTTTTAAATTATGTATAAAGAAATGTTGTATTGTCTTGAGATGATTAGCTGTCAATTTATTGATTCAGCCATGCTTGATCTATGCGATCACTCTGGTTTTGGAGATGGTGCAGAATACTAAGTTGAAGACATATCATGAAACTAATTATGTGTTTTTATGACTTGCAGAAACTTTCTACACCATTTTAAGTGGCGGATCCAGAACTTTTCATAAGGGGGGGCCCACTCTCGTCATGCTTCAGTATTTCCCTATATAATCAACCAAATTTTTCCTGCAAAAGGGGGGCCTGGGCCCCCTTGATTCCGCCTATGATTTTAATCATCAACTGCAAACTTTTGACATGTTATTTGCCCTTAAATTAAGAGAAGATTGGTCGAATAGTGACTTTATTTTAGATATACACTTGGATATAGTTCCTTTCTAAATCAAAATTTATGATGATTTACTATTTATGAATTAATTAGAAAAAGTATTTGTACATCAATTGAATCAGTTGATAACAATTTTGAAAGTATTATATTAGTGTCTTGTGCTTGTGTAAATTATTGTTCAATGAAATGTAGGTCAACATGTGTATTAATATATCTAAGTTGATTCCCACACTTTTTTGAAATGGTATTACTCCAATTCATTCCATAGGCAAGTGAGTCAGAATGATTATTAACTGTCATGATTTTCAAATAAGTATTAATTAGAAACAACCCCAGGCTTAATTCAAAACAGTTAATATCTCATGACCTGTTACATGATTAAATAGACACAATTTATTACACACCTAACTGAATACACACATTCTTGACCTCAATAGTAAACCTACAAATGTATTAATTGTTTTGATTTACACTACATTGAAATATTCTGTTAATTTTGCTAGCTAGCTGACTGATTAATATGATGTGGTTTTTTTTCAAAGAAAATACTTTAAATGAAAAAAATATGTATAAAAAATGCAAGCAAATTTTATTTTACTTGTAAAATCAGTGCCATTATCATCTGACATAAGGCCCGAGAACACAGTTATTTCGTAGTGCATTTTTTTTAGACAATAAAGTCAAATTAAAAAAATTGCACCTGCTCTATCTCAAAAAGATTTTTACAGTGTAGTGTACTACTATTGGGACAAATAATATCAAAATTATAGAAAAGTCTACCAGCTCTAACTCAAAATATTGACAATTCTATGTTAAGGGAGTCTTTTAAAAATTCAGTTTGACAGCTTCAGACATACTAGTTTTTGACCTTTTTTAACTGGACCAAATCGCTACTTAACATAAAGATTCAGCACCCAAATTTTTTTAACATGTAATTTCATCCCCTTACTTAATATTTCATGCATAAAATATAAAGAAATAAATTTGGAAAGTGTATGAACTGTCCACACTAGGGGCTATATTTGTAGACAATGAAAATCTAAGGACGATAACTGTGTCTTCGGACCATAAGTCAATTAAATCAAGTTCTAATTAATTAGTTACAATTATCAGAAATTTGGTTGAAATATTAAACAAAATTGCATAACTCTTACCTGAGCATTTTCTGCAATAAAATTTATTTGTTTGTTTTACATTTATATCCCATTATATTGCTATTTAACAGTAATTGGAAATATTTCAGCATTAGGTATTTGAATACAGGAAATGTATTTTTCTTAATGAAGAATGAACACCAATTTAGATAAGAAATAGTTATTATTTTTTTTTATTTTTGTTGTTGAGAAAGTGCATTTATAAGGCCTCTTTCTAGAAATTATTAAACCTGTCATTATTAATGGCATTTAAAAAATATACTTCTTGTTTGACAATTTTCCTTTCTATTCTTGTCAAAAATAAAATCTGACAGAGTCTAAAATTAAACGACAATAAAGACAACAACACCCATCAATTACCGCATGGTAGGAGTTTATTCTGGTCGACATGTTTCGCCAACAAGCGTGGCGTCTTCAGGACAATATTACATATGAAATCAAACAGTGAAGTACAAATTTTGCGGTTGTGTGGTTCGCCGAAAGTAACGTAACAATAGAGGTTGTTATGACGACGTTATAGATATAAATAGAAAGTGAAAGTAAAATAAAATAAGAATCTAGTTAAGTTAAAAGTGAAAGTTAGTCAATAAAGTCATTAACGATGTGGTTAGCTGCTATTCTTACACGTCTGTGTAGTTGTTCTCATGGAGGTTTCTAGTGGTAATATTGTAGAAATGATGAAAGTAGATCATAAAATGTCAGTTCATTTCCAAATTGGACAACACCCCACTGGCCATCCCTTACCAATTCAACTGGCTTCGCTCCAAGGGAGGTACTGCTTCCAATCGCGTAGGTAATAGGGTGAAGTGTATGATCGCCGCAATTTTGGGAATTGTAAATCTTGGTAGATTCGTTCATAAAAATTTACTTTGCTAATAAAGTGTCCGTGGATCAAGCTTTTCTTTATAAATATGTTTTGTGGTTTATGTGGTTCATTTCGTCTAAAATTGAAAGATCAGTATATATATCTAATTTGCATCAATATTGCGAAATTCCCTACCTTTGGACAATAACATAGAAATTTTACAGTTAGATTGGAAATGAAAAGAGAAAAAAAAATTAGAAAAAAGTACGGTCAGAAAGAATATCAGACGCTATGAATATGGCTGGATCACAACATCAACGACGCTTTGATTTTTAGAAATTACTATTAAGAAATATTAATTTTAGCAATGATTATGTATGTCATTTTCTATTTTAAGACTTTTATGATGTATTTAAATGGGTAATTATGGTTGCAAACTCCATTGGAAATTTGACCATATCTTGAGGGAAAGAATTTTTTTTTTTGGGGAAAATGGGGGGGTAAAAAGAAATTGTGGGGAGTCTGGTTAATTTTTTCTCAATTCAGATTTCAGAAATTAAAAAGAAAATTTCTTCAAATATTATTTTTTTTGCAAAAAAAAGTGGGGGGTAATACGCAACAGCATAGTGTATTGCACAAAAGCAAAAATAAAAGGGGGGATTTTTTTTTTTTTTTTTGTGGGGGGAGGGGGGTCAATTCGCAACAGCAAAGTGTATTGCACAAAAGCAAAAAATTGAATATAAATTTAAATCATATAACCAATTCTAAGTTCTTTGACTACAGTTATTCTGTGTCAAATATTTAATTACAATCCAAATTCAGACTTGTATCAAGCGCAAATATTGTGTCCATTTTTGCCCCAACTGTTCAGGGTTGGACCTCTGCGGTCGTATCCAGCTGCGCTCGGCGAAGCAATTTATTGGTTATTATCTTGAATATTATTATAGATAGAGATGAACTGTAAGCAGCAATAATGTTCAGCAAAGTAAGATCTACAAATAAGTCAACATGACCAAAATGGTCAATTGACCCCTTAAGGAGTTATTGCCCTTTATAGTCAATTTTTAACAATTTTTCGTCAATTTTTATAATCTTTTACAAAAATCTTCTCTGAAACTACATAGACAAATTCAACCAAACTTGGCCATAATCATCATTAGGGTATTTATTTTAAAAAATGTGTCCGATGACCCCTCCTGCCAACCTATATGGATGACATGGCTAAAAATAGAACATAGGGGTAAAATGTAGTTTTTGGCTTATATCTCTGAAACTAAAGCAAAAGTATTATGGTTGCATTATTTCATGCATCAATTGTAAACAAAAATATCAGATGAGCGACACAGGCTCCTTGGAGCCTCTAGTTTGGTATGGAACCTTGTGGCACAATTTCATAGAGATCCATACACTTATACACAAGTTATTGTCCTGAATCAAGAAAAATGCTTGTTTTGGCAACTTATTCCTAAACAGTTAGGATAATTACCCCCAAAATCAATCCCAACCTTCCTTTCGTGGTGAGGAACCTTGAGGTACAATTCTTTGTGGTCTGGAAACCAAATGTCTTCCAACAACGACAACGCTGACATCGCCATACCATTATACGGCTGCTATTTTTGAGGTCTTGTTAAAACATAACAGCACACAAATTTATACCGGAGCTCTCTTATTTATAAAAATGAAGCAAAGACTATGTTTTCTCTTGGGAACACACCATGTTATTTGGGCCTGAACTAATTCTGAGGAGTACTGATAGTTGTCAAGCACTTACCTTGGTGATTAATGGTGAGACAGGACAACAAATATTTGTAGATTTGCAGAAGCTGAGCACCTTATTGACCCAGTTTGGTGAAGGATCAGACAAATTAAAAAAGTTGTTTACATCCATGTCATTTGGAACCTGGTTGATAGTTGTTGCATTGGCAATCAAAACTATTACAATACTTGGTATAAAGGAAGAAATATGCAATTTCTGGTCTAAAATCAGTTTATTAGTTTCAAGAAGACTATGGATGGGAAGAGAAAACTAATACAAAAGTTGTTGTAGATATCATTGTAGTTTAGGGATAGTAAATACAAAGACTATTTCTATCTAAACACTTTATTAACAAGAAAGAAATAACAATTTATGGCATAAAGCATAACTTGAGACAGTTTTTTCTTTTACTTCCATAATATTTTAACATATTCTCAGCATAAGAAAAGACTTGACACTATTTTTTTTTATGTAATACAGTTTAGTTAAGAAATTTTCTCTGAATTATTGTACCAGAAAAATATATAATTTGAAAACCTAAACCTGATTTTATCGCAAACGGTAATAATTCATTTCATAAAAGACCATCAATTTCAAGTTACATAGTAAATAAAGTTTTAAACAGCTTAAATGAAGCTTACTTAATTAGTTATTTGGGTTAATTTACATGGTATAGCACTAAGCACATACAATCAACTGATGTTTCTCAATGTTTTCACTTAACAAATTGGTTGCTAGTAAAATGAGTATCCTTAAGTCAAAATATGCAGAGACTATAAATAAAAACAAATAATAACAAATATGTAAAAACAGTCATGTATATAAATGAATAAAATTCAATGCTTTGTTAACAATTAGATAAAACGGAAAATTGTTTCCCATTACATCTACCACCAATAAAAAAACCCAGGTCCATGTACTGCCAGGTACAGGAACATTTTTTTAAAGATATTTCAAAGCAATCTGAATTACACATATTTCAGAATTGATTCAAAAGAATGTTTTGAAATTGATTTTCCTACAGAAATTTTAAGATAACTTATAAAAACAATAAGAGTGGTCACACAGAAATGTCTTGTCTGTCAAATTAATCATAACTTTATATGTAAAAAAAATTAAATTACATATATATAAACCATGAAATGAGATCTTCTTTTAAGGACATGTTACACCCTTGTTATTCTATAAATATATATTTTGACATATTAATTACATGTATAGTAACTCAAAAACTAATCTTATCAAGTAAATATCACATTTAATCAATATGAAAATGAGGTCAAGGTGAGAGGACTCATGTCAGATGAATAAGTAAACATTTATAATGATTCTATAGCTGACCTATTAATTACTGAAAAGTCAGGGAAATGTTAAAAAGATTTAAGTTTTATTGAAGGTTCATACTTTCTTACAAAAAAACAAATCTGCAGAATTTACTATCCAAATATTGTACACTTACTCAGCCATCATAACAGATAGGTAAAGAGCTAACAATTTTCAATTATTTGATCAAGTATATCATACTTCAAGAATGACTGAGGACAATGCCATAATATGTGAATACCAGCGAATTAATATTATGATTGTATATCTACAATACAAGCAAGATAGGGTGTCCAATTAACAATGCAATTAGACCTTACTTTAAAGCAACCAACCATTATCAAATCAAACTTTCACAAAAAATATAAATAGTATTAAATGTGTTAGCTACTTATTAGTTCCATCTCAATTGTATCCTGAAACTAAATCAAAATCATGACACTATTTGTAGAGAAATTATTGAACAAAATAATTATAGAACTTTCTAATATACATCAAACTGAATACAGGTCTACTGAAATTATGTTAAATGCAATGTGGCAATAAAATATATTTTTATGATCTAATATTGATGCTAAAATTTCAAGTACGAGAGAGCTATAGAGTTACTAAACATTTATTACAAATTTAATTCAGACAGAGATACCCTCAACAAAATTAATAAACTTCACCCTCAATTTATGAATCAGGAAAAAAATAAATAATGTTTATGTTTACACTAGTTGTTGGTCAGATATTCATGGATTATCAAATCAATTTTAAGGAACATTCTGAATATTTCATTCTATAAAATCTCTTTTCTTTCAACAAATATTTTTTTTTTGGCCAAAGTGGAAATCTGTTAACAAGGGAGGATGAAACAAGAATGTGTCCATAGTACACTAATGCCCCACTCACACTATCATTTTCTATGTTCAGTGGACCGTGAAATTGGGGTCAAAACATTTAAATTTGGCATTAAAATTAGAAAGATCATATCATAGGGAACATGTGTACTAAGTTTCAAGTTGATTGGACTTCAACTTCATCAAAAACTACCTTGAACAAAAACTTTGACCTGAAGCGGGAGAGACGGATGAACAGTCGCACAGACCGAAAAACATAATGCCCCTCTACTATCGTAGGTGGGGCATACAAATAAAAGAAATCAAATTGTAAGAAAAATTGGACAAATGTAGGCTTGGTGAACAACTGCTTTAATTCTGCATGTAATAAACAATTTTCAATTAAAGAAAAGCTTGACAGATAAATTACATTAATGTAGTGGGCCAACAAAAAAACACTCCACTGACCAATTTTATTTTGTGAATCTGCAGATTATGGTGTACAATATTGAAGGGGAAAATAATTTCTACCTACAATACAGTAAAGCACATTGTATAAAACAGATTAAGTATCTATCTGTAATGTACATGTAGTCCGATGAGAAGCACAATGAACACAATCTACTAATCGATTTTACATAAATTTTTCTGCCCATTATCTATGTCTTTGTTATTAACATCAAATTACTACTTCTTTTTTACAATGAGCTTCTTCTCTTTATGTGGCTGAAAAGAAAAGTATTCAAATAAATTACATAAGCTCTACATCTCTTATAGGGAGAAAATCCATTCAAAACAGTGACTAAGTATTTGTAAATTAACTGGTTAGTCAAAATAAGCCTGTCAAACTCTGAAAGTTTCAATGAAGGTTATGACCTGCACTGAGTAAAAAATACCTGTTACAATATGCGTACAAACTTTTTTCAACTGAAATTTAACTTTTTTTCCATTTTCACTTCAGAGTTGTATCTTCATTGTGATTCAAGGGGCCTCGGTGGCCGAGTGGTCTAAGTAGTTACTACTGTAATCACTAGCCAGTCAACACTGAGGTTGTGAGTTCGAACCCCGTTCGTGCGGGTGCACTCGACTCCAATCTTAATTGACTAGGATTGTCAGTTTTCCTATCGAAGGTCGGTGGTTTTCTCAGGGCGCTCCGGCTTCCTCCACCAATAAAAACTGGCCGCCACAAAATAGCCCAAAAGCGGTGCTTAAAAGTGGCGTTAAAACACCAAAAATCAAATCAAATCAAATCATTGTGATTCATTTTAAAATATTCATTATTTATTACAAAAAATGTATATCCAACAATGCCAAAACAAAGGTCCATGGTTGTAACAAACTAATATGAATGTTCTAGTAATTCATTAAATAAGTTTCTTTAAAACTTTCTCAAAAATATTTTTCAATTCAAATAAAGTGGTAGGATTGTTTTACAAGAGGCTCTCAAGAGCCTGAATCGCTCACCTGTATTTCAGAGGAGAAGATTTTTAAATGTTAGCAAACTTGATGAACAAATTGTGTAAAATTGTCTTTAAAGGGCAATAACTCCTTGAGGGGTCAATTGACAAATATGGTCATATTAACTTTTTTGTAGATCTTACTTTGCTGAACATTATTGCTGCTTACAGTTTATATATATCTATAATAATATTCAAAATAATAACAAAAAAATGCAAAATTTTGTTAAAACTACAAATTCGGTGGCAGCAACCCAACAATGGATTGTTCGATTCGTCTGAAAATTTCAGAGCTGATAGATCTTGACCAACTGAACAATTTTACCCCATGTCAGATTTGCTCTAAAAGCTTTAGTTTTTGAGATATAAGCCAAAAACTGCATTTGACCCCTATGTTCTATTTTTAGCCATGGCGGCCATGTTTGTCAATGGATCAAAACTTCGGATACAATTTATAAACTAGATACCCTAAGGAACATTTAGTTAAAGTTTGAAGGTATTTGGCCCAGTAGTTTCAGAGGAGAAGATTTTTGAAATAGTTTATGACGACAGACGACGACGCCAGACGACAACGACAGACGACGGACGCCAAGTGATGACATAAGCTCACATTGGGCCCCTAAAAAGGGTAAATACAAGCACGTTAAAGTACCTGACATTTTATTTAAACCTGTCATACTTACTGGTAAAATTTGAAAAGAACATGTCAAATCTTCTGAAACTACCAATACTGCACCAGCATTGTCAAATTCTCCACAATAGTTAGGTGCACTAAATAAAGTCAGTAGCTGAAAAAAAAAATTATTTATAAAAAAAAGCAATCAACAAAATATATATATTCATTAGATTTCCACTTACTCCTTTAAAAAGGCGTCAATCAAGTTTCAACAACTCTACAAAAAAAAAAACAACAAATTTTCTCTAGAACTTTATTCCAATCATTAGCAAAATAAAATAATGCAATTTTAAAGAAGGGGGCAGATATTTTCTGTTAAGGTGTTTTAGGCATTTTTAAACTTTTGTTAACTGTTTTTTTGAAGATATATGTTAACTGTAATTGACTTATTAACTGTTATTGTGAAGAAAATTACCCCTGTTAACTGTTTTTTGATTTTTGAATTCACTGTTTTCTGTTTTCTCATTAAAGCTAATTTAAATTGCTGTTATCGGATATCAGTATTTTGAATTTACTGTTATCTGTTTTGAGCAAAATCAAAAATAGTTAACCTGTTAATGGACACTCTCTTGCCTCCCCTCTTTAAATACTAATAAACCAAGGAAAAATCTTACTTGCAGGCATAACCTTGAGCCTACTGCACAGAATGAACTAAAGGTTCAAACAAATGTGTGCTCTTTGTATCCATCAATTTGCTAATGAACTTTTTTATGCCCCCACGGTAGCGGAGGGGGCATTTAGTTTAACCCTTGACCGTCCCTACGTACGTACATCCCAAAGTTGGTTGCTGTTCTCTAACTTTACTTTGCCTCAACCAAATGTTACGAAACTTACACAAAATGCTTATTACCACAAAACACAGTTTTAATTTTGGTGGCGTCACTTTAACCGTTCTAGAGTTATGCCCCTTTACAAATGGAATAAAATGCTTCCCTGAGCGCAGCTGGATACGACCGCAGAGGTCCAACCCTGAACAGTTGGGGCAAAATGGACACAATATTCGCGCTTGATACAGGTCTGAATTTTGATTGTAAAATTTTAAATATTTGACACATAATAGGTTTCTGACACCATATAACTGTAGTCAAAGAACTTAGAATTGGTTATATGATTTGAATTTATATTCAATTTTTTGCTTTTGTGCAATACACTATGCTGTTGCGTATTGACCCCCCCCCATCAAAAAAAAAATTACCCCCTCCCCTTTTTTTTTGCTTTTGTGAAATACACTATGCTGTTGCTTATTGACCCTCCCCCCCCCAAAAAATTTTTTTTTTTTTATCCTAACCATCCCTTTGTGGTATGGAAATTTGTGGTATAATTTCAGAGAGATTCATACACCGTTCCACAAGTTATTGTCTGGAAACTAGAAAAATGCTTATTTGGGCCCTTTTTTGGCCCCTTATTCCTAAACTGTTAGGACCATAACCCCCAAAATCAATCCCAACCTTCCTTTTGTGGTTATAAACCTTGTGTTTAAATTTCATAGATTTCTATTTACTTATACTAAAGTTATTGTCCGGAAACCAAATGTCTTTGGACGACGACGACGACGTGATACCAATATTTGACCGCAAATGTTTTTGCGGTCGTATAAAAATTGCTGAATTTTAAGTTTCTGTTCTCTAACTTTAGTTTGCCTCAACCAAATGTTATGAAACTTACACATGATGCTTATTACCACAAAACACAGATCAAGTTTGAATTTTGGTGGCGTCACTTTAACCGTTCTAGAGTTATGCCCCTTTACAAAATGGAAAAATTGTTGAATGTTTCGTTTCTGTTCTCTAACTTTAGTTTGCCTCAACCAAATGTTATGAAACTTATACACAATGCTTATTACCACAAAATACAGATCAATTTTAATTTTGGTGGTGTCACTTTAACCGTTCTAGAGTTATGCCCCTTTACAAATGGAAAAATTGCTGAATTTTTCGTTTCCGTTTTCTTACTTAAGTTAGCCTCAACCAAATGTTATGAAACTTATACACAATGCTTATTAACACAAAATACAGGTTAAGTTTGAATTTTGGTGGTGTCACTTTTACTGTTCTAGAGTTATGCCCCTTTACAAATGGAAAAATTGCAGAATTTTTCGTTTCCGTTCTCTTTCTTAAGTCAGCCTCAACCAAATGTTATGAAACTTATACACAATGCTTATTAACACAAAATACAGATCAAGTTTGAATTTTGGTGGTGTCACTTTTACTGTTCTAGAGTTATGCTCCTTTACAAATGGAAAAATTGCAGAATTTTTCGTTTCCGTTCTCTAACTTAAGTTTGCCTCAACCAAATGTTATGAAGTTTATACATAATACTTATTACCACAAAACTCAGATCAAGCACAAATTTGGGTAGCATCATTTTTACCGTTCTTCAGTTATGTCCCTTTATAAATTTATATGATATGCAAGCGGGAGAGGCATCATCTGTGTCCCATGGACACATTCCCCATTTATTTATTTTTAGCAATGATGGTGGGTATATTTTATCAACAATTTATAATGAGATGATTAATGTTAAGGATGCAGTCAGGTGAAATTAAAAAAAAAACTGGAATTTTAAATTGATATTTTGATCAGAAGAGCATAAGTTTAGGAACAAAATAAATAAAAAAAAATGATAGGTTATAGAACTCCTTTTTGAGATAGTTGATTTTTAAAAAAATGGCGGGAAAAGGCTGACTCAAGCTTTTACCTTATATTTAGCATTGGCATTATTTGAGTCTAAATTTTTAAGAAAAAATCTAGAATCTGCTTAAATTTTGGTAATGACCTTTTATGAGCTATTGAAGTCTTCTATGAAAAGAAAAGTGGGTGATATGGGGCAAAATATTTTACCCTACATGTATCATAGGAAAAAACCCATGGAGTACGAACATCTGACAAAAATTCCTAAACCTGAAATGACTACATCCATAATAACAGGCAGAAGATACTTAACCAACAATATTAACACAATCAAAAACTGAAATCCAAGCTTTAAGTAGCTGAGCCAAAAGCCCAGCCCATGATACACCTGCCTTGCGCATAAAGAAATTGTAGCCATGATAGAATGAAATATTGAGAGCGCATCTTATTAATAGAAGTCATTAAAATTTGTAGAAAAATTTGCATGGTGTATGGATATTGCCTTTAATATGACTGTTTAAAAGCCCATCACTCTCTAAGACCAATCTTAACAACAGTGTAAAGTTTGTAGTACAGGTAGTGTGATCCAAGCATACTAGAGCTAGTGCATGACATGTAAAAAATTGCCTTAAATCTGATTGTTAAAAATTCCATGACAAATCAATTTTTTTTAAATCAAAAGTTATCTACTTTTCGTTAATTCCAACAATTGTGTAAAGTTTCCATTAAATCTATCCAAGCATTCTCAAGTTCTGGTAAAAAAAGTTACTTAACTCTGACAGATAAGTCCGGTAACAAACCAGAAAATTTTCAAAATCACAGCATACTTGAGTTAGTGTGTGGTCTGCCAAAAAAGGTTTAATTTTTTTCAATGAATGAAGTCCCATAATTCTGATATTACAAAAGAAAAATCATGAAAACTAAAAGGGAGCTTATTATAAGGATAATAAAATGCTCCGCAGGGCGCAGCTTGATATGACCGCAGAGGTCGAACCCTGAACAGTTGGGGCAAGTATGGACACAACATTCAAGCTTGATACAGCTCTGAATTTGGATTGTGATTAAATATTTGACACAGCATAGGTTTCTGACACAGAATGAATGTGGTCTAAGAACTTAAAAATTTTAAATTGGACATTCACCTTTTATTGTCCAACATCCAAAATCTAAATACATGGTTAGATTCAGCATATCAAAGAACCCCAAGAATTCAATTTTTGATGAAATCAAACAAAGTTTAATTTTGGACCCTTTTGACCTCAATGTGGACAAAGTTGATAATGGGGCCCAAAAATCAAAAATCTAAATACATGGTTAGATTCAGCATATCAAAGAACCCCATATATTCAATTTTTGTTGAAATCAAACAAAGTTTAATTTTGGACCCCGATTTGGACCAACTTGAAAACTGGGCCCATAATCAAAATCTAAATACATGTTTAGATTCAGCATATCAAAGAACCCTAAGAATTCAATTTTTGTTAAAATCAAACTAAGTTTAATTTTGGACCCTTTGGACCTTAATGTAGACCAATTTGAAAACAGAACCAAAAATTAAGAATCTAAATACACGGTTAGATTCGGCATATCAAAGAACCCCAATAATTCAATTTTTGATGAAATCAAACAAAGTTTAATTTTGGACCCTTTGGACCACAATGTGGACCAATTTAAAAATGGGGCCCAAAATCGAAAAACTTAATACACGGTTAGAATCAGCATATTAAAGAACCCCAAGAATTCAAGAATAAAACCCCATTGAAATTGGTCAAGAAATAAGCAATTTATACGAAGTATCTTCTTTTGCACAATACTGTGCAATTGAATATTTCTTGCTATTGCGCAATACTGTACAATTGACAATTTCTTGCTATTGCGCAATATTGTGCTATTGGATATTTCTTGCTATTGCACAATACTGTGCAATTGAAGATTTCTTGCTATTGCGCAATACTGTGCAATTGAAGATTTCTTGCTATTGTGCAATACTGTGCAATTGAAAATTTCTTGCTATTGCACAATACTTATTATACAATAATTTACACATCCTGTTTGGTGTGTATCTCCTACCATATCATTATTATTTGCTTTTAAATATAAAACAGAAATAACCAACTTAAAATGGAAAATTTTAAAAGAAAAAAAAAAGGAAACAAAGGAAACCCCCCCCCCCCCCCCCAAATTTTTTGAACCCCCTTATGATTCATCACCCCCAAACTCAATCCCAGCCTTCCCTTTGTGGTATGGTACCTTGCAGTACAATTTCAGAGAGATCCAAACACTTGAACACAAGTTATTGTCTGGAAACTAGAAAAATGCTTATTTTTGGCCCCTTTTTGGCCCCTTATTCCTAAACGTTTTGGGCAATTACCCCCAAACTCAATTCCAGCTTTCCCTTTATGATATGGAACCTTGTAGTACAATTTCAGAAAGATCCATACACTTACACACAAGTTATTATCATGAAACTAGAAAAATGCTTGTTTGTTGCCCCTTTTTTGGCCCCTAATTCCTAATATTTTGAGGCAATTACCCCCAAAATCAATCCCAGCATTCCCTGTGTGATATGGAACCTTGTGGTACAATTTCAGAGAGATCCATACACTTGAACACAAGCTATTGTCTGGAAACTAGAAAAATGCATATTTTTGGCCCCTTTTTGGCCCCTTATTCCTAAACGTTTTGGGCAATTACCCCTAAACTCAATTCCAGCTTTCCCTTTGGGATATGGAACCTTGTAGTACAATGTCAGAGAGATCCATACACTAACACACAAGTTATGTCTGGAAGTTACAAAAATGCTTATTTTTGGCCCCTTTTTGGCCCCTAATCCCTTAACTGTTGGTACCATAACCCCCAAAATCAATCCCAACCTTCCTTTTGTGGTATTGAACCTTATGGTAAAATTTCATAGAGATCCATTCACTTAAACTTAAGTTAGAGTGCGAAAACCAATGTGTCTTCGGACGACGCCGACGCCAACCTCATACCAATATACTACCGCAAAAATTTTTTGCGGTCGTATAAAAAGGCAGATACGATTGTTGCCAGCTCATGTGGTAGGTTAAAGTAACAAACAAGTGAATCGGCCAGGTAAAATGCTGACAACGTTTATTGACAAAATAAATCATAAGGAATATAATTACCTGATTCATGTCTGTTGTTTTATTATAGAACAATCCCTAATTTACAAACTTATTTTTTAGATTTTCAGTTAGAGTTCAAGGAGCCAAAGTTGCATGCAAAATTTTAACAAAATCTGTGACATAGCCCATTAACTGTAATTTGACCTCAAGTTTAAGTTGAAACTCGCTTCCCACACTAAAATTAGATCTTATCAAATATTTTCTGCAACTGAAAACCAGAAACTTTATTTTACATTAATAAAGATTTTATTGACTACTAGTTATATACACTTATACATACACTTCGTTTCTGGAAAAATTGGTATCCATCTTCTACAACCTGTAATGAAAAAATAAATGTTCCTATTGAAAAGTTTAAAACCTCACAGAAAGGATTATACTATTGAGAAATTTCAATTCTGACAAGTTCAATCAGTTAGTTGAAACATATTTTATTGTTCATAAACTATACACTAGCATTTCACTGTTTAATCTGTGTAATGCATTGCAAAAGACAATGGCTTCTAAAATACATCTTTAGATCAGATTTTTCAATCATGATTATTTTGCAGTTGGATACCACAAGCTGTTTTATATCTATGGACTCATTGCAACTTTTGAAATGTTCCCTAAAACTGTTTCAAATGGAACAGATGCAACAATAAGCTAATGAATTTATAATTCCAAAAATCTCTTTTCTTAATAAGACTACAGACCTGCCAACTTTTGAAAACCTCCATGGGGGATTTTCCCCGGGGAAAAAAATTTAAATGATTCGCTTCATCTTGTGACTGTTTTTTTTTTTTTATAATGTCCAGTAGAAAGTATTTCATGTATATTTAGGATCAATTTTGGTTTGTTTCTTGAACTCTTGAGATTGTTTTGATGCTGTATGTATCATTCTGTGTAAAGATGTTTCTTTCATTTGATTCATTTGTTTTATTTGTTTTATTTCAGTGTTATATTTGTTTTATTTCAGTGTTTTATTTGTATATTCACTGTATCTATTTAAAATAAATTGATAAACAATGACTTGGTTGCTTTATTAATGCATACATTGCAAACTATGTCATGAAAAGATAAACAAGGTAAATGTCATATTAATAATATTTATTCAGTAGCATTTAAAGGAGATAAAAACAATACAAAACAATACAAAACAATAATACACAAGGAGCAAAAAAACATAAAAGCTACTAATGTTCATTTTGCACTAAGTAGAAAGCACTAAGTTACATTATCATCACTTAAAATTGTCAGCACTATAAAATTGTCATTTGGCACTAATTTCCACAGTCTTTGTTGTAAGCAACACATGCTTTCTTTGCTGTCTTCAACAAGTCTTTGTCTGGTTTTAGCTGGTAGCATGCACAGTCTGAGTTGATCTTAGTGGTAAGTAGGTCACAGAGTGTTGAGTTGTCCAGTGATGGCCTGTGTTCTGTGTGTATCTTCTTGACCATACTGAAGACTCTCTCACAATCTGCATTGGAGTTGGGTATGCAACACATTGCTCTGGTAACTCTTGTTAGTAGTGGAAATCTTGCTGTTCCTGTGATCTTGTTTGTCATTGCTGAAACTGCAGCCCAGTAGGAGTCTACTCTGGTATCTGAGTCAAACTTGGGTAGCTCATCAGCTGGTGTCACCTGGTAGTCAATGAACTCTTCTTCCAATGCTGCAAACTGGGTAGATGGTACAAGTACTGGAAATCTCTTGACAATCTTCAGTGTGTCAATGAAGTCTAGATTACCTCTCTCTGCTGGGTTGAGGAAAGCCAAACATGAAACAACTGGATCATTGAAGGGAAACTTGGTCACCATCTTCTTTACTACTGCACAATAGAATTGACGAACTGAGCTGAAAAAGAAATAAAATAATAAATATCTAAGACTATAACAGCACACTTAAGCCAAAGAGTACAAATCATATTTTATCTATTAGATTGTTTTGTCCAGTGGCAAATACTTCATGCATGTTCAGGACAGATAACTCATTAACATTTTATCTCATTGACACATACCACAACTGCTAATAAAGTTATAGAAATAATTGTCTCATTGTTTTGCATAATTGCTGAATGTCCAGTGGCAAGTACTTGACTTTGTATCTCATTGACATATACCCCAAGTGCTCATAATTTATAGTAAAAAATGTTATAAATACCTAAAAAGTCTCTGAAGTACTGTTGGAGATATATCACCTGAGTGGTCATACAGGTAGCCTCTTGCATTGGGTCCAATGCTGAGAATACTGTTTGGTAGTTGGTTGTCAGGATTGCTGTAATCTATGGTTGTCAGATCTTGAGTAGTCTGAATGAGTTTGGCTTTGACGAATTTTCCCAGGAAGGTACGTAGAAGGGTCTTCATCTCTGCTGCCAGGTAACCAATACGTGCCTCTGAAGCTTGGAAGATGGTGTTGAAGTTGTTGAGTGGTCCCAAGATAAAGCTGAGGAAGTAGAAGTAAAGGTGGATCTCATGGTCACTGAGTTGAGTTGCTACTCTCTGAATACGTCCGGGTTTCTCTACCTCACAGTGGGAGTTGAAGTAACTGGTGAGAGCTGGCCAGTGATGAAGAGTGCGGTCAACACAGGTTTCCAAACTGAGCCATCTTGTAGTTGCGTGTTTGAGTAGCTTGCTTGGTTCTACGTCACAGAAGTCTAGGAACTCTTTGTAATGTTCTTTTCGCTTGGAACTATGGTGGAAGTGGTAGTAGCTATAGCTGTACGTTTTCACAAAACAATTTTCATGCTTTAGCTTTATACAGTCAAAACAGGTCATATTTACAGATGACATAATGTCCATGAGATATATGGTTTTGACCAATAAATCTTCTTATTCAAAGAAGATTGGCCTCTTTCACTCATCTTTGAAAATTTGCCCAAAAGTTTGCTACATAGTCTCAAATAAAAAGATTCTGATAGGTTATGTCAGAAATAGGTTGCAAGAGGAAATATTCCCCCAAAATAATTTTTTTATTGGGGATTTCCACAAAACACTTCCATATAATAACTGTGTATTGCAGACAATATTGTATTGTATGGAAATAATTTTTGGCCAATAAAGTCAAATACAAGATGCAAGTCATGCCCATAAAAAATAGTTGACAATCAGACCACATGAAATCTTTTAGTGTATCTGCATATATATGAATTGATGCAGGGCTGTAATAAACACTGCTTTCAAATCTTACCTGATGTGCCCTTGCTATTAATGTTAAGTCATGCTTATTCAGAAAATCTAGTACTACATCACCACCAAAGGTGTAGGACACTCCTCTGTCATTTTCTCCCCAACCTGTTATATCCTACAAAGATAATTTGGATTTTTATCTATCAATGCCTTCTTATATATATTTACAATCACATTTTTATGCTTTTGTTTTTCATTTGTAATGTAATAAACTAAATGATATAAATACAGATTTGCATTTATGTATTTTAACATGAATGATATTATACTTTGCGATTTATATGGAAATGTTTTTTTTTTTTTTTTTATTTATCTAAATATGGCATTTGGTAATTGCTTCAAAATCGAATAAAAAATCTTTTTTTTTTGCCTGCTGGCAAGTTCTTAAAAATGTTTTCAGTAATCACAAAGACTGATTCAGTTTCTTGACAATAGTTTTAAAGCATATATTTTGTTCTCCATGGATTCTATTGTCAATTTATGGAACTTTTGTGAATAAAATCTGACACATTAGAACAAGTAAACAAGCTTTGAATATGTTTAGATAATGCCTATTGGACAAACTTGGCAGAACCTTTAGTTTTGACAATGTTAAGCAAATCAGGTATATCTGAATGTGATGGGACAAATGTAACACATTAAACAAGTACAGGTGAATTTTACAGCCGATTGCATTGAGTGTGTAGGTAAAGGTTATATCTTTGGTTAGCTTGCTTGCTAGCTGAACCGTGAAGTCATTATTAGGTAAGGTATACTACCCTCCTTTCGAAGTAGCCTAGTCCTGCAGACAGACAGATTGGTTATCTGTCGGACTAGTCTACTCTTAAAGGAGGGTAGTTTACCTAACCTAATAATAACTTCACAGTTCAGCTAGCAAGCAAGCTAACCAAAGATATTACCTTTACCTACACACTCAATGCAATCGGCTATAAATTGTCTCTTCAACTGAAGAGAAATGTTTCAACACCTTTTACTTAGCTTATTTACAATAAAAATTCATTACATAAATATGTGTGATCACCATCCTTAATATCTCACAAAATGTTATTGGCATTTGTGAACTGAGGTATCAATATTCTGGCTTAGGCTGATATCCGGTTGAAATTAGACAAAAGAAATGAAACTCATTACTAGAGAAGGTAAAAATGGTCAAATTAGCATATTTGAATTATGTACATCTGCTTCAATGGGCTTTAAAAGCTTAATGTAGGTGCATAATCTGAGATTTATAGTCAATACCCTCCATAAACCAAGGAGAATAAAGAAATGCCATTTTAAAGAGAGGAATTTGTGAAATTTGCTAGTGGTTTTACTGACCTCATCTGGATCTGCCCATAAAAGATCACATATTAAGCCATGGTCTGGAACATCCAAAGGCCTCTCTAATTTATTCAACTAAAAAGAAAGATGAATACAAGTCAGTATGTTATCTAATATCTACAATATTATTTGTCACTTTTGTATGCATTACCGTAATCTATTCTTCACACATCCCTCTGAAAACCTATTAAGATACCAATTTTCAAAATATTGAAAGTAATGTTTACAGACTTGCTTAAAGTCCTTTTCTTTTTGTATTTGAGTTTCCCAGCCTTTTGAAAAAATGACTCAATGTTTGGATGTCTATTCCTTCTCTCATATAATTATGCCAACTTACTTGAGACATCTCTTTTAGATCTGGAGACAGACCTCCATGCATACAAAATATTGTATCTTCCACTACAGCAGCTAAAAATAAATACATCCAAAATTATTGAATCTGAATCAAAACAATGTCATAAGCAAAGTGCTTGTGAGCACTGAGGGGTAAATATTACTTTCATAATGCAATGTAAACTTAAAATTTAACATAATATTGTATAAGCAATGGAATTCATCTAGGCAATTGGCTCTATCTTCTTATGTCTATTAATCATATTTGAACCTATTTTTATATCAAATAGATTCATATGTAACAGCCACTATGTTCCGTCAGTTACTTTGTTCCGGCGGAACTTTTCAACTAGTTATTTTGTTCCGATGGAACTTTCCAACTAGTTGTTTTATTCCGAGTGCAGTCGAAAAGTTCAGGAAAAAAGTAGCTAGTTGAAAAGTCCCGGAACAATGTAGCTAGTTGAATAGTTCTGGCGGAACAGAACAACTAGTTACATCGTTCCGAATACTGTAAATTCAGAAATTATTGCGAGGTTTTTATTATTGCGAATAATGCGACTGGGTGAGGATCGCAATAATAAGAAATCGCATTCTGATATCTGGTACATATGTCTTTATGCAGATTTTCTTGAAATCGCAATAATTAATCTCGCATTTTTGTCCATTCTTCAAAAATCGCAATAATAAATGCACGCAATAATTTCTGAATTTACAGTATACCATATTTCGTCCTTTTTGTAGAAAGAGGGGGAAGAATGAGTATCAGTATATATAACAGCAAATCATTAATTTACAAGAATACCCAACGCACTTAAAGGGGTTTCTTTGGGGACAAATATGCAAAATTTAAGTTGTATTTCATAGCTCACATAAAACGGAATAAGTTGCATTATCATGCAAATTTAGTATTCATAGTACCCTCAAGAGAGGGAAGAATACCCCCCTCCCCATGTGGTTCTTTGCATCAATTCTCCAAATGGAACTTTGTGACTGGTTGATAAGTTCTGTTGGAACTTTTGAGCTAGTTTGTTAGTTCCGGTTTTGACTTATTTGCCAAAGAGGAACTTTGTGGCTAGTTGATAAGTTCCTTTTGACTTTTGTAATCAGTATCTTGGTTTCCCTTTGAAAGGTTCAAATATAATATGTTGCGCTTTTACTTTGCATCAATTCTCCAAATGGAACTTTCTGCCTGGTTGATAAGTTCCGTTGGAACTTTTGGGTTAGTTTGTTAGTTCCGGTTTTGACTAATTTGGCAAAAAGGAACTTTCCAACTAGTTGATATGTTCCGTTGGAACTTTTCAACTAGTCACTTTGTTCCGGTAGAACTTTTAAACCAGAGGAAGAACAAAGTAACTAGTTAATAAGTTCCTCCGGAACTTTTCGGCTAGTTAGTTCTTTCCGCCCGGAACTTTCCAACATACACCATGCACAACTTCATGTCATTTTAAATAAAATAGTATTCCTGACAATTATGGTTATAAACATCCTTGAAAATCTTAGAATTTAATTAATAAATTAGACATGGATAGATCTAAAGAATGTTCACCTCACTACACCATGTTGTTTTTGCTCTCAAAGATAGAGATGAGGCCTGGAAAATTTAACTACCAAGCTTCTATTGTTCCTTACATTAAAATCTTCTTTATGAAGTCTTGGTGTCTAAACTGGTATATATGCATTATTATGAGTGGGAATATGACTTATATAACCTTCAAAGGTTAGTTTTGATTGCATAGAAATTGGATAGCACAAAGTTCATTAAGGATAAGTTCAAGAAGTTACAATTGTAATTTTCAATCTTGTTGGTTTTTTTAGTGCAAAAACTGATAATATTCAAAACAATTTTATTTTAGAATTTTACATTGGTTAATATACAAGAAGTTAGCTTATGCAATACGAAAGTCTCATTGATGACACAGTTCCAAATTGATACATTAAATAGCTTGCAGACTAGAATAGAGAAAATTATCCCCTATTCTCTCCTTAACAGGAATATCTTTTTAACATGGAAATTATTTTCCACAATGGACAATATTAATGGATTGTCCTTTGTTCAAGGCATAACCAAATTTTTACTAGATGATGAAAAAAATAAATTTCAATAATATATTTAAACACTAGGATTTTTTTGCCTGTTAGAAACGACCAAGAGAATAGGAAACCAAAATTTTAAACAAGAAACTATGGCATTTGCCAAATTTTTACCCTATGTGAACTATGTTCAATAAAATGTTGACACAGAGATATGTCTCTCCTGTCCACATAAAATTCTGAAAAGACAATCTGATGGACAGCAACATTGCTTATTAATTCAAAGTCGCTGGACCATGATCTTGTGGGCAAGGCCTAGAAATGGTAGACAAACTGAGATGTACTGATAGTGACGCAACTATATATACAAAATATCATTGATCTGTCACAAGTAGTTCTTATCAAACTGACTTTAAGCAGAAAACTTAACATTGAAAATTGCTAATTAATTCACTCACTGGACCATGACCTAGGGGGCAGGCCTCAAAATAGTCGTCAAACAGACATGTACTGATAGTAATGCGACTCCATACAAAATATCATTGATCTATCACAAGTGGATCCTATCAAACTAAACCAAGCAAAAACTAAACAATTGTTGACGCCACCACCGTCGATAAAAAAGCAATGCCCATGTCTCGCTTTCTTCCACGACTCGTCGCAGCCTAGACAAAAATGCAGTCTGCTGTATGCATCTCAAATTACATTCATTACAAAAAATTCGTAAGGGTTCCGCGGAACCCAGTGTCTCGCCTACTTTTTCTGTTAATCGCAGGCTCAACAAAAATGAGGAAGTAAATCAATAAAAATATTCCTCTTGATACTATCTTTTGATTGTAAGAAGCTTCTGTCCAAGTTTGGTAAAAATCCAGGATAGTTTATGAATCTAATAAATGTTTAAAAACTTTAACTGCAGACTGAATGTAATGCTAACTGGAAGAAAACAAAATTTCCTTCTAGATACTAGCATTTGATCATAAACAAGCTTCTGTCCAAGTTTGGTACAAATCCAAAATAGTATAAGAAAGTTATTAAAATTTCAAAAACTTTAACCACAGAGTGAATATTTGTGGACGCCGCCAACGACGACGGAATGTAGGATCGCTATGTCTCGCTTTTTCGACTAAAGTCGAAGGCTCGACAAAAATGAAAACAACACGTAATAAATTTCATGAATATGAAGCACTTCATCTGGAAGGCTCAAAGCAGAATATTTGAAAGCCAAGGATGTATAAGAACCGAAACAGTTGAAGAGCTATATGACCAAAAATAACAACTTATTCCAAAATTGAAATAATCAAAAACTTGCTATGTGAAATGATACCTATAGGCAAACAGTTAAAACAATCTGTAAATGTCTTCCATAGTTTTATGTTGTATCTTCTTTTGCATTCATCATAAAACCCATATATTCTGCAAAGACAATGATTTAACTATTTAGTGTCAGTAAAAATTTAAATATTATTTTTTTAATCAGAATCAATATTCATAACGGGGCCAATTCATAGAATAAACTTCAATTACACATTACCCAAACTTACTCATATTATCATCCAACTTTTTTGTGATTTATTAGGTTATCTTCAAAAATACTCAGTTCCCTCCCACCCCACCACCCCCAAAAAACATGCATTTTACATTTTTTTTCTAATTGACAATACTTAATTTGTTGCAAGGATAGAAAGATTTGTCATGCAATCAGAAATATAACATTTTTGTCTTTTTGCATAACAATAAAAACTGTCAACTAACCTGTTAATTGATGCACATTCATGGTTACCCCTCAGCAAGAAGAAATTTTTAGGGTACTTGATTTTATAAGCCAAAAGTAAACATATAGTTTCGAGTGACCTTTTTCCTCTGAAATAGATGAGAGAAAAAAATTCATATAAAAATTTCAATCTGAATTATGTTGTATTGATCCCTAGGTGGGATTGGTACCCAAAAGTACTGTTTTGGTGGAGCCAAAATTAAATTTGATTTTGCTCATTCAAATCTATTCAAATTCAGCATCATGAGATCAAAGACCTTGTCCTACCAGACATAACACAACCTTTGGATGGCATTTTCTGCCTTTGAGAACCTGTGGATATAGTTGTGTATTTATTCACCATGAACTTAAAAAGAATATAAAGATGTGAATGTTGTAATCACATCAGGTTTTGCTGCTATTTGGGCCTAAGAAAGGCAGTACATTCTTTGACATGTGTGTTGTTCACATTTCAAGGCATTCAAATGGACAGCAAAGTGTTTGCAATAGGGTTATTCTGCTGTAAAATGTCTAATCCAAACATCGCAAAATCAGACATATGCAAAATTTTTCTATATATTACCAACAAATTTACTGTAAAAATCATATTTTACAAAGGTTTACTATATTAAAAACTTTTCAGTATTTATACAGGTATAATGTAAATTGAATCTAAAACATGTTTAGGATTTTTTAACTCCAAGCTAAATTTGTAATAAAAAATAAATAACAAACAATATCCTAAACTACCTTGCAGTCACTTGGCAATAAAAGAGACAAGGCTATAAAAACCAAAATAGATATTATAACTGGTCCCTTGTCTCACCATTCTGAAGAAGAATTATGTTGGACATCTTCTGGTTTCATTTACTTCAAAAATTAAATATCATTTTTTTCAAATATCAATCTGACACTCAAAGTTGTATTTTTCCTCATATTTTGATAATTTAAATAATGCATTGCTTTTTTTAAATTTTTATTGAGAAATCATGAAAAATCTGCCTTGTTCTTTAATATCAGTAAATAATAGTCATAGTAATATTGTTACAACAAAATCAGTATAGCTAACCTGTCCACATAATCCCCTAAAAACAAGTAATTAGCATCTGGTGGGTAACCACAATTATCAAAGTGTCTTAACATATCTTCATACTGTCCATGTATATCCCCAACAATATTGACAGGGGAGGCAACTTCCACAATCATCGGTTGTTCCAAAAACAATTCTCTTGATAGCTGACATAACTGTCTAATTTGAGTTTCTGGTAACTGAACCTATCAAATATAAATTGTAGTAGAATATAATTTTAATAATATTTGACCAGGATTATTTTTTCCATTTTTTAACCCTAACCTTTACCATGTTTACAATAATCATGCAGGTGGGCAGGTAGGTAAATCATCATATATTTCTGAAATAAGAAATTTTAAAATGTAAAAAATTGTTCACTACAGAGAATCCAAGTTATTTAGCAAAAACATCACAAGAATTTTGTTTAACCACCTTTCAAAATTGTTTACAGTTGTACATGAACACCAACAAACAATCAAATTACTAATTTCCAACAAACCTGCTTGTTCGGAGAATCCTTAATGGTAAGAAGTTGCTCAACTATACTGTCCACATCAAGGTCTTTAATCATCTTGTAAATCAAGAATAATACTGCTCAGTCATTTCCATTTCTAACAACAAAGATCAAAAGCATTCATATTGCATAAATAATCAAAGTACTGAAGTACTGAACATCGGATGACCACAAGTTCTTGTGGATGGCCGTCACAAGCACTTGTCTCAGAAAAAAAAAATAGGGAATGTGTCCCATGGACACAGATGATGTCCCCGCTTACATATAATATAAAGTTATAAAGGGACATAACTGAAGAACGGTAAAAAGGGACGCTACCCAAGTTTGTACTTGATCTGAGTTTTGTGGTAATAAGTATTGTGTATAAGTCTCATAACATTTGGTTGAGGCTAACTTAAGTTAGAGAACAGAAATGAAAAATTCAGCAATTTTCCATTTGTTAACAGGCATAACTCTAGAACGATAAAAGTGACACCACCAAAATTCAAACTTGATCTGTATTTTGTGGTAATAAGCATTGTGTATAAGTTTCATAACATTTGGTTGAGGTAAAAACTAAAGTTAGAGAACGGAAATGAAAAATTCAGCAATTTTTATGTTTATAAAGGGGCATAACTCAAGAACGGTAAAAGTGACACCATCCAACTTCAAACTTGATCTGTATTATGTGGTAATAAGCATTGTATATAAGTTTCATAACATTTGGTTGAGGCAAACTATAGTTAGAGAACGGAAACAAAAAAATTAGGCAATTTTTATGTTTATAAAGGGACATAACTCAAGAACGGTAAAAGTGACACCACCCAATTTTGAACTTGATCTGTATTTTGTGGTAACTAAATATCATTGAGATGGGAGCCATCTCTGTGGGCCCCGCTGTGAATAATGTGTGGTAAAAAATTTGTATCTTTATCATTGGACATGGGGTTGTCAAATGAAACCAAAGTTTTTGACCTTGACCTTTGACCTAGGAAGTTGTACATAAATTATGACACACCCTCTAGTGTTGGTTTATATACATATCAAGTATAAACTTTGAACTCATAACGGTATTCAAGATATAGAGCGGACACAGTCTTTACCATAGGACATGGGGTTGTCAACTAAAACCAAAGTTTTTGACCTTGACCTTTGACCTAGGAAGTTGAACATACATTATGACACACCCTCTGGTGTTGTTTAATATACATGTCAAGTATAAACTTTGAAATCATAACGGTTCTCTAGATATAGAGCGGACACGATTTGTTACGGACGGACAGACTGATCACTATAGGGCGGCCGCCATTCGGCGGGGCCCTAATAAGCATTGAATATAAGTTTCATAACATTTGGTTGAGGCAAACTAAAGTTAGAGAATGGAAACGAAAAATTCAGCAATTTTTCCATTTGTAAAGGGGCATAACTCTAGAAAGGTTATAGTGACGCCACCAAAATTCAAACTTGATCTGTGTTTTGTGGTAATAAGCATTGTGTAAAAGTGTCATAACATTTGGTTGAGGCAAACTAAAGTTAGAGAACGGAAACCAACTTTGGGATGTACGGACGTACAGACGGACAAGGGTAAAACTTAATGCCCCCTCCGCTACGGCGGGGCATAAAAATCACATCCCTATACCTGAAAGTGAGGTTAATGTACAGAAATATATTTATTTCTGAGACAAGTTCGTGCGTGGATGATGAATAAATGACAGGGAATTCAACCTCACCGTAATAACTATTATATTGTAGTGATACAAATCAGTATACTCTGGTTTGTTGTTAAATATTATATTAATATTTGTATAATTTACAAAAGTTACATGTATATATATATATATACAAGTGTATATATAATTTTCATCCATTTGTATATCATTCTATTCTACTATTCTAATAATAGTGCAATGCAAGTGCATGGTGGACACTCTTCTGTAATAATTAGATTTTTCTAATAGATTGGATTTGAGTAGGCATTCATATTTTCCCGCAAAACTTTCTTCAGATATTCTTCCGCATGCGTTACTACAATTTTTCTGTATGTGTGCAAAAAATAATGATTTTTTGACTTATATATATTTCTTACGACAAAACATTTTCATATTATTAATTTATGTTCTAAAAAAATATTTTTATGAGTATTCATTGAAGAAATTAATTTATAACAAGCGATAAGGAATGTTACTTTGCATTGGATAATGTCCGCATATTTATACGATCGGTTACCAGTCAAAAACATAAGTCAAATCTCTGTGGCAACATTACATCTGAATGCCCTCACGTTCATCGCGATGTAAAAATCAAATTTGGTAGATACATTACTTTCTGAAAAATATTCTTTTTTCATATTACACATAAATGCAAAAAATTAAAATGCTGTTTCATATCCCTGTGAGAAAAGTTTTAATAAAGAGCTGCGCCATGAGGGCATGATACAATGTCATTTCAGAAATTTATTAAAAACTTAAGGAAAATTATTTTAATATATATAAACCAGTCACCAAAGTTTCATGGAAACTGCTCAAAGTACTTTTTAGTTATTGTCTGAAAACTGGAAAATCACCCTTTTTTAATGAATAAAACCCCATAACTCTGAAACGTAAAATCTAAAATTTATAAAAATTGAAAGGGAGCTCACACCAATAGATATAAACCATTCACCAAAGTTTCATGCAAATTGGTTAAAGCATTTTTAGATATTGTCCAACATGTTGACGACGGACGGACAAAATGACAGAATGATGGACATCGGTATACCATAATACATCCCGTATAAAAAATAATAGTTTGATAAAGACATGAACTATTTCAAACAAGAAACAGATACCAATGTGAATTTATTTTTTAAAATTGATGACCACCTGGTTCAGTATAAATATATGCATTTTGCCAGAAGTTTATGATATCCTAAGTCAGTATCTTTTTCACTTTAAGTTTTGTTTTTTCATTGAGATTATCTCAAAGTCATATGATACATGTGTTCTTCAAATTTAACAAAAAAGTTGAATATGTTTTCTATACTTGAATGACTAAATTTTACTGTAAAACATGTGTAGTATTGTACACAGTCTTTCTTTTAAAAAAAATCTTTCATTTTATCAAAATCTTCCAAAAATTACTCTACTGAATTTTTTAAGTTATTGAACCATAGTCTAATACGCAGAAAGTTTTTCCGTATGCACAGACCTGAACCATGACATCTCTAGTATGTCTAGTTAGTAATTAGGCAACCACACATCTTAAGTGCCAAGGGAAAATATTGTAATGAAGCAAATTGAGGTAAACAAACGTGGAGATATTATTGATTGATTCTGAAAGACAAAAATTACTACACCAAAGCATGTAACAACTGTTATGACAAAGTTTAATGAACTAATTGGAATGCATCATAGACAATATAAAAACTTTCAGACGGTTCTTGCTCAGGTGAGAGATCTTTTTCTGCCCTTCGACGTTTATAAAGACATGGTGTGTAAGCGTACTTTCATTCCGCCGTGTATTTATTCCGGGTAACTGTTTTTCACTAGAGAATATTGGATGTAAATAGTGTGAAAGCGTCGATCTTGATATCGTTGTTTTGTTTATATTAGACCGGTTTATTGTTTACATAAATAAATGGGTTAAAAATTAAAATGATTTTCAAGGAACCAGTTTAATTAATCTGAGTCAATCTAGTAATTATAAATAATATTCAGTGGCGGATCCAGGGGGAGGGGGTTCCGGGGGTTGGAACCCCCCCCCCCCCCCCTTTTTTTTTGACGATCAATGCATTTGAATGAGGACATATAGTTGGAACCTGGTATCTATGATGTGTTTATTTATAACTCAAAATATTTTATCAAATTGAATGATCAGGACATTGAACTTGATATAAACCAAATTTAAAGAGCAGATTTGTTCTTACATAAAGTTTCAATTATAGAAGTCGACCGAAAAGCAAATACACAGAAAAACTTCGACAATCCAATAAATATAAATATTACAATTAGTGACAATTTAAAAGCGTATGATTTTAAAGATTTGCATAGAAAAATTATTTAATTCTTATTCGTTAATAAGCATTATGTGTTATCGTGTGTTGAAAATGAGTACTAATCACTTCATCAATGTATGGATCTAAAGCACTAGTGTAATTAATCCCGGTATAAAATAACTAGTGCAATCATTCCGGTACAAAATCACTAGTGTAATCATTCCTTGTTTAATAAAATGCTTCGCTGGGCGCAGCTTGATACGACCGCAGAGGTCGAACCCTGAACAGTTGGGGCAAGTATGGACACAACATTCAAGCTTGATACAGCTCTGAATTTGGATTGTGATTAAATATTTGACACAGCATAGGTTTCTGACACAAAAAGAATGTGGTCTAAGAACTTCAATTTTTTTAATTTACCTATTATGGTCCAATGTCCAAAATCAAAATACATGGTTAGATTCAGCATATCAAAGAACCCCATATATTCAATTTTTGTTGAAATCAAACAAAGTTTAATTTTGGACCCCAACTTGGACAAACTTGAAAACTGGTCCCATAATCAAAAATCTAAACACATGTTTAGATTCAGCATATCAAAGTACCCCAAGAATTCAATTTTTGTTAAAATCAAACTAAGTTTAATTTTGGACCCTTTGAACCTTAATGTAGACCAATTTAAAAAACGGGACCCAAAATTAAAAATCTAAAAACACGTTTAGATTTGGCATATCAAAGAACCCCAATAATTCAATTTTTGATGAAATCAAACAAAGTTTAATTTTGGACCCTTTTGACCACAATATGAACCAATTTGATAGCGGGCCTACAAAATAAAAAATCTAAATACATGGTAAGATTCAGCATATCAAAGAACCCCATATATTCAATTTTTGTTGAAATCAAACAAAGTTTAATTTTGGACCCCAATTTGGACCAACTTGAAAACTGGGCCAAAAATCAAAAATCTAAATACATGTTTAGATTCAGCATATCAAAGAACCCCATATATTCAATTTTTGTTGAAATCAAACAAAGTTTAATTATGGACCCCAACTTGGACCAACTTGAAAACTGGTCCTATAATCAAAAATCTAAACACATGTTTAGATTCAGCATATCAAAGAACCCCAAAAATTCAATTTTTGTTAAAATCAAACTAAGTTTAATTTTGGACCCTTTGGACCTTAATGTAGACCAATTTAAAAAACGGGACCCAAAATTAAAAATCTAAAAACACGTTTAGATTTGGCATATCAAAGAACCCCAATAATTAAATTTTTGATGAAATCAAACAAAGTTTAATTTTGGACCCTTTTGACCTCAATATGAACCAATTTGATAGCGGGCCCACAAATAAAAAATCTAAATACATGGTAAGATTCAGCATATCAAAGAACCCCATATATTCAATTTTTGTTGAAATCAAACAAAGTTTAATTTTGGACCCCAATTTGGACCAACTTGAAAACTGGGCCAAAAATCTAAAATCTAAATACATGTTTAGATTCAGCATATCAAAGAACCCCATATATTCAATTTTTGTTGAAATCAAACAAAGTTTAATTTTGGACCCCAACTTGGACCAACTTGAAAACTGGGCCCATAATCAAAATTCTAAACACATGTTTAGATTCAGCATATCAAAGAACCCCAAGAATTCAATTTTTGTTAAAATCAAACTAAGTTTAATTTTGGACCCTTTGGACCTTAATGTAGACCAATTTAAAAACGGGACCCAAAATTAAAAATCTAAATACAAGGTTAGATTTGGCATATCAAAGAACCCCAATAATTCAATTTTTGATGAAATCAAACAAAGTTTAATTTTGGACCCTTTTGACCTCAATATGAACCAATTTGATAGCGGGTCCACAAATAAAAAATCTAAATACATGGTTAGATTCAGCATATCAAAGAACCCCAAGAATTCAATTTTTGATGAAATCAAACAAAGTTTAATTTTGGACCCTTTTGACCTCAATGTGGACAAAGTTGATAACGGGGCCCAAAAATCAAAAATTCGTAAGGGTTCCGCGGAACCCAGTGTCTCGCCTACTTTTTCTGTTAATCGCAGGCTAACAAAAATGAGGAAGTAAATCAATAAAAATATTCCTCTTGATACTATCTTTTGATTGTAAGAAGCTTCTGTCCAAGTTTGGTAAAAATCCAGGATAGTTTATGAATCTAATAAATGTTTAAAAACTTTAACTGCAGACTGAATGTAATGTTAACTGGAAGAAAAAAAAAATTTCCTTCTAGATACTAGCATTTGACCATAAACAAGCTTCTGTCCAAGTTTGGTACAAATCCAAAATAGTATAAGAAAGTTATTAAAATTTTAAAAACTTTAACCACAGAGTGAATGTGTTGTTTCCTGGCAGAAAATCTAAGTCCATTTAAAAGTAAAATACTGAAAAAATGGATTTTTTTTTTTACAAAATTTACTTCTGGATACTATCTTATGATCATAAACAAGCTTCTGTCCAAGTTTGGTAGAAACCCAGGATAGTTTAAGAAAGTTATTAAAATTTTAAAAACTTTAACCACAGAGTGAATGTAATATTTCCCGGCAGAAAAACTAAGTCCATTTATAAGTAAAATACGGAAAAAATGGAATTTTATTTTTACAAAATTTACTTCTGGATACTATCTTATGATCATACACAAGCTTCTGTCCAAGTTTGGTAGAAATCCAGGATAGTTTAAGAAAGTTATTAAAATTTCAAAAACTTTAACCACAGAGTGAATATTTGTGGACGCCGCCGACGACAACGACGACGACGACGACGACGACGCCGACGGAATGTAGGATCGCTATGTCTCGCTTTTTCGACTAAAGTCGAAGGCTCGACAAAAATCTAAATACATGGTTAGATTCAGCATATCAAAGAACCCCATATATTCAATTTTTGTTGAAATCAAACAAAGTTTAATTTTGGACCCCGATTTGGACCAACTTGAAAACTGGGCCCATAATCAAGAATCTAAATACACGGTTAGATTCGGCATATCAAAGAACCCCAATAATTCAATTTTTGTTAAAATCAAACTAAGTTTAATTTTGGACCCTTTTGACCTTAATGTAGACCAATTTAAAAACGGGGCCCAAAATCCAAAAACTTAATACACGGTTAGATTCAGTATATTAAAGAACCCCAAGAATTCAAGAATAAAACCCCATTGAAATTGATCAAGAAATAAGCAATTTATACGAAGTATTTTCTTTTGCACAATACTGTGCAATTGAATATTTCTTGCTATTGTGCAATACTGTACAATTGACAATTTCTTGCTATTGCGCAATATTGTGCTATTGGATATTTCTTGCTATTGCGCAATACTGTGCAATTGAAGATTTCTTGCTATTGCGCAATACTGTGCAATTGAAGATTTCTTGCAATTGTGCAATACTGTGCAATTGAAAATTTCTTGCTATTGCACAATACTTATTATATAATAATTTACACATCCTGTTTGGTGTGTAACTCCTACCATATCATTATTATTTGCTTTTAAATATTAATCAGAAATAACCAACTTAAAATGGAAAATTTTAAAAGAAAAAAAAAAAGAAAAAAAGAAAAAAAAAGAAAAAAAAAAAATCCCCCCCCCAAATTTTTTGAACCCCCTTATGATTCATCACCCCCAAACTCAATCCCAGCCTTCCCTTTGTGGTATGGTACCTTGCAGTACAATTTCAGAGAGATCCATACAATTGAACACAAGTTATTGTCTGGAAACTAGAAAAATGCTTATTTTTGGCCCCTTTTTGGCCCCCAATTCCTAAACGTTTCAGGCAATTACCCCCAAACTCAATTCCAGCTTTCCCTTTGTGATATGGAACCTTGTAGTACAATTTCAGAAATATCCAAACACTTACACACAAGTTATTGTCATGAAACTAGAAAAATGCTTGTTTTTTGCCCCTTTTTTGGCCCCTAATTCCTAAAACTTTGAGGCAATTACCCCCAAAATCAATTACAGCCTTCCCTTTGTGATATGGAACCTTGTGGTACAATGTCAGAGAGATCCATACACTTACACACAAGTTATTGTCTGGAATTACAAAAATGCTTATTTTTGGCCCCTTTTTGGCCCCTAATTCCTTAACTGTTGGTACCATAACCCCCAAAATCAATCCCAACCTTCCTTTCGTGGTATTGAACCTTATGGTAAAATTTCATGGAGATCCATTCACTTAAACTAAAGTTAGAGTGCGAAAACCAATGTGTCTTCGGACGACGCCGGACGACGCCAGACGACGACGACGACGACGACGACGACGCCAACGTCATACCAATATACGACCAAAAAATTTTCAATTTTTGCGGTCGTATAAAAACACTAGTGTGAACATTCCTTGGATGATAACTCTCCACTTTTTACATAAATCATTTATGCAAGTTTCAAATACACTAAAAACTATAAAGCCACATTTTATATATGTTTCCCCTTCAAAAACCCTTTTTAGAACCTTATAATGACTGGTGGATGTTTTACACTGGACCCGGATAGAAAAACCTAGTGAATTTTTGTTGGTGGATAAAAATCACTGGGGATTTTCTTCCTCCGGATAAAGTACACTGGCGGAATCAAACCACTGTTACAGGTCAACTATGACCAGGGACAGATTATGTGGTTTAGCCATGCTTCACGTCCATCTAACAGACAATGTCTGGCAAGTGAACGGAGAAACTGTTCTCAAACTATGGGATCTTAATGGCACAAAAAAGGCTGAACTAGCATTCACAGACAGTGATTAGGTTGCATTCTTTGGGCTTTATTAAAGTGTTATTAAAATGTGTGTTATTTTTTATGAAGCGTTGACCACACACACTTGTCCCGCTTTTTCTACTATCAAACATGTATCCTACTGTAAATGGATACATGTTTGATGGTACAAAATTCGAGGCAAGTATCTGTCAGCTGGCTCTGATAGCCTTATGCAGTTCTTCATACTGTAAATATGAAACAAAAGGGATGTAACAAGTTTTATTTCGGACCAGGATATTACAATTTTCAGCTGGGGGCTTTGCTACATGTACTCTGGACCACCCATTAACATGGGGCCTCTATTGGCGGCCCCAGACCCCTGCCTCGTCTGTGTCCGATGCCTAGTTACGACCCTGTATGAATAGTATAATATACTATAATAGTTATATGAGGATCAATCATGATATGGTTAAAACAAATCATTAAAATGTGTTATTATGTGTTGCATTTTAATGTCCGTCAGTTTTTATACATGTCTTAAATATTTTATATATCCGCAAGAATAGTTGTTACAGTCATTTATATGGTCACCGTGATGGATTAGTACACATGCTGTAAGTAAGTTTGTGTTTTATTAACTTTTAAGTTTATGCACATAAACAGTAAAACGTTTTTAAGAGTGCTTTGTGCGTAAGAAGGCCTCAAGCTAAGGTTTTAGGGGGGGGGGGGTGGCAGGGTGCCCAGCCCCCCTCCCCCTTTTGTGGGAAAAATTTGGTAGATTATTTAGGGAATCACTGAAGCATGACTGGAGCGGGCCCCTTCTTTAGTAGTCAGTGCACCCCTCCCTCCCCCCTTTATGAAAATTTCTTGATCCGCCACTGCTAGGTAACACTAACAGGTAGGCAACAGGTATATATCATTTCCTACGCTCAGCCGATTATTTTTTACGACCTCAACTGTGTCATATGCATTTATTGCATTAAAATACGGAACCCTTCTTTCATTCTACAGTATCATGTAAATTATTACAGGGAATATTATCATGTTATCGCCGGGCGCGAACCTGTCTCACTCGAAGTTCGTGACTTGCGTTTCGTTCTCTAGTAAAGAACATGTAATTTAATAAAGAAAACTAATATTTCTATATAACTGAGCATTAATGGTGATTTCTTAGCAAAAATTATTATCTTTACACAGATTCCATCGATTTTTAACTGCTATGTGATGTACGTCATATCTGATTGGCGTCCATTGTGCTTCTGAAGCTGGCTAGTCATATGATGGTTTCTATGCCAACCACAATTTCCCCGCGAATATTTAAAAGCCAAGAATATACAAGAGTATACTGGTGGTGCGACAACTGGGAGTATAATAGTCCCATGGATGATGCGACAAGTATAAAAAGTCCCAAATATAGGTATTAAAATGGGTGCATTAAGAAAAGAAAAATAAGCAGAAATAAAAAAAGAATTTCTATTTATTGAAAATATCTGTAAATACTTATTTCACTCTGGGACATATTCCCAGTTTCAACTGAGACCAATTACTAAACATGCAGAGACATATAAATATAACACAAAATTTGATGTAGCTGCTGGGACCAGAGACATACATGTATATACACACATGTGTATATATAGGTTTCACTTGGATATAATATAATAGCAGAGAAATATAATATGTCTCTCCAGTGGCGGATCCAGAGGGGGGCGTAGAGGGCGTACGCCCCCCCTTTGCTTGAACTTTTTTTTTTTTTTTTTTGTAAAATGATGAATCAGACTTGACTTCGTGAACTTTGTCATTTCCCGGTCGTGTATTTAATTTTTAAGCGACAATTCTTTACTTATAAAGATATTTTTCGCTCGTATTTACTGTAATATATTATTGATTATGTCAGTCATGTGTTTCGCTACGGTGGAGTTGATCAGTACGTTTGAAACGTCACTCAGTCATTTTGAAATTCAAATAACAGCAACACATTGCTTAGGCGGAGGATGACAAGCATGACACCTTCAAAGCGACAAAGGATTGAGCAAGAACGTATTGACTTCTATTTCATATTTCCACTCAACAGAAAGTAATACTCTATTACACTCTCATGAAAAAAAAAAGTTCCACGGCAATATTATTTACCTACGAAAATATGTTTAACCCCACACGCCCCAGCCAATTAATAACATTGCTGAATAATGATCCCCAGTCAGTAAGCTCTAGATATGTTTAAAGTCTAAGGTACGGACCATTTGATTTGATAGGGCAGTCTGAGATATTTTAGAGAAAAAATTCTGACCCTGTTAAACAAAAATTCTGGCCGTATCTGTAATGAAAACAATTATCGTGTCCCCTTTTTGCTATAAGAAAAAAAAATCCAACAGAATTATTCAGCATTAAATGAACATTGTGAATAAAAAAAAATGCGTAATTTTTTTTGAGGGGTTTGCATGTAAATCCCATATCTGACCGGAATGTCTGTTTCGCCGAACTGATATACTGAATACTTTTTTCAAGGCCCAACTGCAACCTGCCTGCTGGGTGTGGCCTTTAGGTAGCACTCCACAGTTAGAAAATAAAATTAAAAATGAACCACAAAATATTTTATCATCTCCTATTCCTGGATTTCTAATACATTAACCTAACGGTTTGTGTTGTACATGTGCATATGTATGTAATCAGTATCTTCCATAGATTTGATTTTCAAAGTTAAAAGGGTGAAATATAATTCCTTCTATGTGTATCCATGGCAACATTCTGCATTTATTTACCATAAAATATTGCAAAAAGGGGGGTGAAAATGTCACATATCCCCCCAAAATTTGGATCAAACTAGAATTTCAATGCAAATGAGTGATACCTTTTTAGAAACTGTTGAAATTAATCTTCCTAATAATCAAATAAAAAATTGTTGTCTTTCGCCTCATTTTTTCGTAAAATTTAATTACAAAGTTCGTGCGACAAAAATTTGGAAAAAAACATTACAATAATTGCCGGACCAATGTATGGTATGGATATGCAAATACGGACTGTCATACAGAAAACAGCCTTTATTACATACATTACATAATCTTGATGTTCATATAAACCCAATAGGCAGGCTATTTTAATCCTCAGCTATCCAAAAATGAATTTTATTGCACACTAGCTCTCATATTTGAAAAATCCACAGGGGCCAAAATGCGAAACTACACACCTAACTGTGGAGTGCTACCTTATTAATAAGATGAAATTTTTCCCCTCCTGTCTCAATTTTTAGTATATTTTCTGTGTTCTACTAGCTGTTACGATTAAAATGGTACCTTAGTTTTTAAAATTGGTCCTGTAATAAGGATTTTATGAAGGTTAGCAGTTGATGTTCAAACGCAACAAAAAGTGATTTAAAAATGAATGCTAGATCATAGTGAAAAACCTCAAGTCTGTCTCATTTTTGGGGTAAATTTCTAAAACTTTTCCCTTTTTTCTGTTGAAAATCTTAAAATTACCTTAAAAGAGGAAAAATTGTACAATTTTTAGGTATTTGAAAGCACTCATAGGTCAATTTTGCTGTAAATAGCATACCAAACCTTGGTTTAGAAGCTCTCAAGCAGGGTATAAATTTCTAACAGTACTGGCATCATTAAATTTAATTAATGCCAAATTATAATATAAAATCCTGCTAAAAATGTTTATTTGACTTATTCGCATTCAAAAATATAAAGCGATACATTCTGAGGATATCATATAAAGTGCAATCTTTGGTTACAAGGGCGAAGCTAATGGAGTACAAATTTAAGACCGCAACATGTCTAAGTGTCAAAATGTGTATCTTTGGTTGCTAAGGACAGTAAACAATAAAATAAACATGAATTGCAATCCTAGCAGATTTTTTACCTAGTGAACTAAAACAAAAACCTAAAAGACTAAAGATTTGTGGTCAAATTTATCTTTAAAAAGGCATTTCTGTGCTTTCTGGTGTGCCATAAGGTAGCACTCCACAGTTAGAAAATAAAATTAAAAATGAACCACAAAATATTTTATCATCTCCTATTCCTGGATTTCTAATACATTAACCTAACGGTTTGTGTTGTACATGTGCATATGTATGTAATCAGTATCTTCCATAGATTTGATTTTCAAAGTTAAAAGGGTGAAATATAATTCCTTCTATGTGTATCCATGGCAACATTCTGCATTTATTTACCATAAAATATTGCAAAAAGGGGGGTGAAAATGTCACATATCCCCCCAAAATTTGGATCAAACTAGAATTTCAATGCAAATGAGTGATACCTTTTTAGAAACTGTTGAAATTAATCTTCCTAATAATCAAATAAAAAATTGTTGTCTTTCGCCTCATTTTTTCGTAAAATTTAATTACAAAGTTCGTGCGACAAAAATTTGGAAAAAAACATTACAATAATTGCCGGACCAATGTATGGTATGGATATGCAAATACGGACTGTCATACAGAAAACAGCCTTTATTACATACATTACATAATCTTGATGTTCATATAAACCCAATAGGCAGGCTATTTTAATCCTCAGCTATCCAAAAATGAATTTTATTGCACACTAGCTCTCATATTTGAAAAATCCACAGGGGCCAAAATGCGAAACTACACACCTAACTGTGGAGTGCTACCTTAAGATGAAATTTTTCCCCTCCTGTCTCAATTTTTAGTATATTTTCTGTGTTCTACTAGCTGTTACGATTAAAATGGTACCTTAGTTTTTAAAATTGGTCCTGTAATAAGGATTTTATGAAGGTTAGCAGTTGATGTTCAAACGCAACAAAAAGTGATTTAAAAATGAATGCTAGATCATAGTGAAAAACCTCAAGTCTGTCTCATTTTTGGGGTAAATTTCTAAAACTTTTCCCTTTTTTCTGTTGAAAATCTTAAAATTACCTTAAAAGAGGAAAAATTGTACAATTTTTAGGTATTTGAAAGCACTCATAGGTCAATTTTGCTGTAAATAGCATACCAAACCTTGGTTTAGAAGCTCTCAAGCAGGGTATAAATTTCTAACAGTACTGGCATCATTAAATTTAATTAATGCCAAATTATAATATAAAATCCTGCTAAAAATGTTTATTTGACTTATTCGCATTCAAAAATATAAAGCGATACATTCTGAGGATATCATATAAAGTGCAATCTTTGGTTACAAGGGCGAAGCTAATGGAGTACAAATTTAAGACCGCAACATGTCTAAGTGTCAAAATGTGTATCTTTGGTTGCTAAGGACAGTAAACAATAAAATAAACATGAATTGCAATCCTAGCAGATTTTTTACCTAGTGAACTAAAACAAAAACCTAAAAGACTAAAGATTTGTGGTCAAATTTATCTTTAAAAAGGCATTTCTGTGCTTTCTGGTGTGCCATAAGGTAGCACTCCACAGTTAGAAAATAAAATTAAAAATGAACCACAAAATATTTTATCATCTCCTATTCCTGGATTTCTAATACATTAACCTAACGGTTTGTGTTGTACATGTGCATATGTATGTAATCAGTATCTTCCATAGATTTGATTTTCAAAGTTAAAAGGGTGAAATATAATTCCTTCTATGTGTATCCATGGCAACATTCTGCATTTATTTACCATAAAATATTGCAAAAAGGGGGGTGAAAATGTCACATATCCCCCCAAAATTTGGATCAAACTAGAATTTCAATGCAAATGAGTGATACCTTTTTAGAAACTGTTGAAATTAATCTTCCTAATAATCAAATAAAAAATTGTTGTCTTTCGCCTCATTTTTTCGTAAAATTTAATTACAAAGTTCGTGCGACAAAAATTTGGAAAAAAACATTACAATAATTGCCGGACCAATGTATGGTATGGATATGCAAATACGGACTGTCATACAGAAAACAGCCTTTATTACATACATTACATAATCTTGATGTTCATATAAACCCAATAGGCAGGCTATTTTAATCCTCAGCTATCCAAAAATGAATTTTATTGCACACTAGCTCTCATATTTGAAAAATCCACAGGGGCCAAAATGCGAAACTACACACCTAACTGTGGAGTGCTACCTTAAGATGAAATTTTTCCCCTCCTGTCTCAATTTTTAGTATATTTTCTGTGTTCTACTAGCTGTTACGATTAAAATGGTACCTTAGTTTTTAAAATTGGTCCTGTAATAAGGATTTTATGAAGGTTAGCAGTTGATGTTCAAACGCAACAAAAAGTGATTTAAAAATGAATGCTAGATCATAGTGAAAAACCTCAAGTCTGTCTCATTTTTGGGGTAAATTTCTAAAACTTTTCCCTTTTTTCTGTTGAAAATCTTAAAATTACCTTAAAAGAGGAAAAATTGTACAATTTTT